AACCCAGACCATTCCGTCATGACAATTTACACCCTCATCCGAGTTGAAAGGATTTGAGGCTGTTTACCAGGCAACCGTCGAGCTCAGCCCATCCAATTCGCGCTGGTAGTTCCGGTGCTGCGCAATCTGGTAGAAGAACATGCCCACGAAATCCTTGGCGCCCTTCGCGATCTGCACGCTCTCCTTGAAGCTCTCCGGCTTCTGCACACCACCGGCCGTGACCACGCCATACCACTCCACGGGCTGTGGCTTGGAGCTGGTGGCCACTTGCACGTCCAGCACGCTACCCAGCGCCTCTTTGATTAGCTCGGCCGCTTCACCTGTACCAGCCAGTGGCTTCAGGTGGCCAAATGTCTCGGCGATCCAGTACCGCATCTGCCCGTTCTTCCGGAGCGTCTCCACATGCGGGCCACCGGGAATGAACGTGGCATCGAACATGGTCGATCGCTGTCCATCGTACTGGTGGTCGGCGATGATGCCCTGCGATGTCTCCTTCGATTCTCCGTCCGCATAGATGGGCGACCGCTTGGTGCCGATAACAAACGGCAGAGCACCCGCCACCTTCACAGCGGTCTGAATGCCCTTGAAGGCCACCGGGTCGTATCCGTCGCCAATTATGATGGCAATGCGCCGACTGGCGATGGTCGGAGACTTGGGCGGAAATTCGGTCTGGGAAACATGGATCGTCTTTAGGCCGTGGTTGGCCATGAGGGCCTTTTGGGGAATCGGGGCGCCCACGACTTCCGCCACCTGCTGCGCCAGGGTCAGGTCGATCTCCGCCAGACGCTTGCCGGCCAGGCGCTCGTAGACGATAGGGTCATCACAGTGGTCCAGCTCGAACCCAAAAGCCTTGACAATGTGCAGCTTTTCGTGCTCCGACATGGAGTTGTAAAAGAGTTGAGCCTGGGAATGATGTTCGCGGAACTTGGGGCTCAACGCGCGCCTCTTGCGGCCTTGTACCGGCTCGGGGTATGACTCGAAGCCGCCACCCTGAGGAGCAGGCTCGTCTGGCTTTGCCGCCTCGAAGCGGTTGGGCCAGTAGTTGACGGTACCCTTAGTGATGCGGTGTTTCATGGCACCGTCGCGGTTGTGGTTCAGCACGGGGCAGACGGGGCGGTTGATGGGCAACTCCTCCCAATTGATGCCGAGACGGCTAATCTGGGTGTCGAAATAGGAGAAGTTACGGCCCTGAAGAAGAGGGTCATCGGAGAAGTCGATACCGGGAACAATGTGTGATGTACAGAATGCAACCTGCTCTGTCTGTGGGAAGAATTCATCCACGTTGCGGTTGAGTTCCAACACACCAATGGTGCGGGGAGGAACCAGATCCTCTGGCCAGATCTTGGTCGCATCGAGAATGTCGAACTCAAAGTCATCCTGTTTCTCTTCAGGGATGGTTTGGATAGACAGGTCCCATTTCGGATATGCGCCGTTGTCAATCGCCTCCATCAGATCCTTGCGGTGGAAATCCGGGTCTTGACCCGCCAGCTTCAGAGCTTCATCCCAGACAAATGAATGCACGCCTAGGTGAGGCGTCCAAATAAACTTGACAAAGTGGCGCTTGCCCTCCTTATTGATAAGCGAAAAAGTGTTGACACCAAACCCTTGCATCATCCGATAGGACCGGGGAATGGCGCGGTCCGACATGGCCCACATGAACATGTGAGTGGCTTCTGGGTGCAAATAGCAAAAGTCCCAGAAGTTGTTGTGCGCGGTCTGTGCCTGAGGGACCTCATTATGGGGCTCAGGCTTCACAGCGTGGACTGCGCCAATTAGTCAAGTCAGAGGTAAGAAAATGGATTGGGATGGACGTACCGAAATCAGTGAACTTGATAGCGTCCTGGATGAAGAAGACCGGGATGTTGTTTCCAACCAGGTCCCAATTACCCTCGTCTGTGTAAAATTTGGTTGCGAATCCACGAACATCACGCACCGTGTCGGCGCTTCCCTTGCTGCCCTGCACGGTGGAAAAGCGGACGAAGACCGGTGTATTCCGCGATGTGTCAGTTAGGACCTTGGCATAGGTCACGTCCTCACAGCTTTCGAGTAGCTTAAAGTTTCCGAAAGCGCCGGTTCCACGGGCATGGACGACACGCTCGGGAATCCGCTCGTGGTCGAATCGGTGAATCTAGGATACGATCAGCCACTGCATACCTCTCCACGATAATCAGCACAGGCATGTGGAAGTACCTTCTCGCGCGCAATCTGATCCTCTAGCAACGATGGACCTGTGCGATGGTCGTCGACTGACCGCAGCCAATTGTCGGTATTGCTAATGGGCACGCCGTGGTCGGTGGTCTGACGCTGCTCAGTGGTGACATCGACCAGGTCGCGTTCCAAGTCGACCGTTTTCTTGTTCTTAGACGAGGCCGTCTTAACGGCTTCGTGAGCTTTCTCAAGCCCTTCGGCAATGACCGTGGCCATGGTGATACTGTGGGGTTGTTGTGAATAAAGCCAGTGATAGGGGATCCGATAAAAGCTGATGGATGACAACAAAACAATTCCAGCGACCGGGGGGGCGAGCGTACATTATGTATAAACGATATATGATTATCGGAGCGCTTCCCAGTTCTGCGAGCCAGTCAAACATCCTCTGTAATGGGGGTGGTCGGATTGGCTGTCTGGCACGTAACCATGACGTTGCGACCGAGACGTCACCGTGACCACTTTCTTCCCCAGATCCATCCGGTGCTTAGAATGCTTAGAAATCTGCAGGCTTCTTATCCACCAGATTCAGGGTCTAGACATTGAGCTAAAATCAGGCTGTCTTCCCACGAATGGGCGGTACTTGGAGGCGCTCATTGGCGCGTTCACTGGTGGTGGTAGGGTTGATGTTATGATGTTATTCCCAGTCGGTCCTCATCGGCAAAGGCGGTCCGATAAGCGATAAGGATTGTGATGCATTTGCCATCCAGCATGCACCGCATCATCTTGCGGTTTCCAGGATTGCTGAGCCCTGAAGCCTGAAACCTGAGACAGTGGAGCACCTTTTCTAAGCGTGCATCAATCTGCACTACGGCCATGTGTTGTACCAGTACCTCCAACCAGTGTCTCCGAGTGATACCTTGAGGCTTGGCCTCCCGGGAGCATCCATCGTTAGTACCCTCGTATGGATTAGTTCAGTCCAGTCTGACTGTCTACTAGACTAGCGGCTGCACACGCGAAATTGCCGATTACTTGTACCCCGCGTAGCATCCGGTTTATGTTCATTCAGACGTGTCAGAACTAGTACCTATCCAAGCTTTGCCGTCGTGCTGCTCGTCCCCAATCGAATCAATTCGTCGACCACCTCTTCAACCAAGTTCACGCGCCCAGACCATGCGGCAGAGGATTAAACAACTCGACCTAGACGGTCGCGAGGGCCACGATGCCATTTTCGAGGCCTCCTACCTGGATGATATTCCGGCCGCCTTGGAGGCATGGGGAGCGTCTCACATCCTACTAGTCGTGAGCACGACCCTCGACACCAACACATCCATGATCAGAGACTTGGAGGCCCGTCTATCCGATTGTGTGCTACAAAAGAAAACGGGAGTGGGAAGTCACTCCCCGTACCGGGACATCATGGATATTGCCCATACCATTCAGTCACAGGGCATTCAGGCTGTCATCTCCATCGGGTCCGGTTCCTACTCTGACGCATGCAAGATCGCCGTCATGCTCAGTGCGACTCTCCCAGCCGGCTTCGGCACTGACGATATGGAAGCCCTGGTCGATCAGGTTTACGGTCTGGCTGGCCCCGACGGGATCAAAGCGCCCACCACCAAGCTCATCTGCGTGCCAACCAGTCTCAGCGCCGGGGAGTGGAACCACTATGCCAGCGGCACCAATGCTCAGGGCAAGAAACAGCACTTTGTGCATCCCGAGGGATCCCCGAGCTTGATCCTGATGGACCCGCGGATCGCCAGTACCATGCCCTCACACTTGTGGCTGGCGTCGGGTGTGCGGGCTGTGGATCATTTCGTGGAGACACTGTGCAATCCTGAGTGCCACGAGGAAGCCACGGAGCACATCAAGAAAGCGCTGCCAATCCTGATCCGGGGTCTCAAGGATTATCACACCGGTCAGGAAAAGCATGATGAAGAGGAATTGCTCAAAGGCATTTCGGAATGTCAGCGCGGCTCACGAGACGCTCTCCTGCCCTTCATTCAATGGAAGATTCCTATGGGGCCAAGCCATGCGATCGGCCATCAACTCGTGAGTCCGCTCTTCGGTGGCGCATCTACATCGACTGTGCTGCGATAAAGACTACTAACCACCGAACTTCTGCACAACAGGGAAGTGTCGCTGGTGTGCAGCATGGTAAGTGATGCAGAAATCACTTCAAGCTGCGGAAAGTAGAAATCCACTAACCGTTCTACGTATGTTCAGGAGTCACGGTAACTAAATCCGAGAAAGCCACCAATTGTTGACAGGCAGCCGACTAACCTTTCACGTTTTGTGTAGAGTTGCATCATCTTACCCGCGACGTTGCGATACACCAAGCCTCAAACCGCGGCTGCCCAGGAGATAATCCTCGACATCTTCAACTCGGTGTTGGGGTTCCAGGAGACTGAAGCCGCTGACGCTATGTTACGATTTGTGCAACTCCTGGGGATGCCATCCCGGCTGTCCGAGGTCAACGTGACCAGTGACGAGCAGTTGCACAAGATTGCCGATATGACTTTGACCGATGTCTTGGCAGAAAAAGGGAACCTGCCCGACAGAGCTGGTGTGCTGCAGATCCTCGAACTGGCTCGGTAAACAAGTATTATGCGGCGGGTCGAAGGAGGCGTCTTCAATTTTCACTTCGTCGTACTATGCTTCTAGGAGTATGTTCCACCATGAAGAGTGGCAGACTGCCTTAGAAGTGTAAGCTGTTCTTTTAATCCCTTTTTGTGCTTCTGGTTTGTTCAAGAGTCCAATATCTGTGGGATGGGTTGTGGACGCGCGTCCAGAAAGCACGCGGGAAGGAATGGAAACAGCAGCGCATCCGAGACTCCACTGACGTCATGGGTCACTGCACCTAGGTTGGTTAGCAGGTAGCAGTTAGACTAGTTAGACAGTATATCTTCGCGAGGCCATCTGGCATCTCCGGTCATAGATGCACATAATTGCGAGTTGCTGCCCATCTGAACGTGACAGCCTCTGAGGTAAGTAGTCAGACTCACTCACGTAGAGATTGATTACTGAGCCATAAGCTCCACCAGCAGATACTTTTTCAGGTTCTGCGTACGTCATATAAAACCATCACCAGTTAAAACATCTAGCAGACCGCAGTGAACATGCCTTTTGGAAATCAGGATTCCGGAGTGACTGGCGCGGCCAAATTCGTCACATCGACCCTCGGCAACGCGGTCGGCGGCGTCTCTCGCACTGTTGGCGGGGTGACAGGCGCCGCGGGGCGAGGTATCGGCGATACCATCACCGGCGCCACGGGGAGCGCAGGGAAGCCTGTTGGCGATGCACTAGGGAGTGTGGGCAGCGGCGTGGAAGATGGAGCTAGGAAGGTTGCCAAGGGAATTGAAGATGCTGGACAGTGGAAGTGAGAGATTTGGGGGGGCACGCGGGGCGAAAAATGGACGATGGGAATAAGAGTAAACAATGATGATGTCGATCGGTAGGCGGTGTGCTAGTTCTTCCTGCAGTTTCATGATTCTTGCTGTTGCTCGCGATTGGTTCAACAATTATCTATTAGGTTGCTTTTCTTTAATGCGATTGATGATTATCTAGTACGTCTGCAGGAACAGCACATTAATTTTAATAGTTTTAAGCATTGCTTCCACTGCCTGTTGTACTTGCATATTCTTGCGGCAGAATGTTCTATAAAAGTAAGCGGTCAGTTGAAAGCATGACTAGAGGCCCCGAACATGCAGCTGCTAGTTATAGAGAACAACTATTGATGTTGGCTAATATTAGTTATATCATTATTTGCTTTAGCTACGGGGAACATCTTATCCCTAGTCAACAGCTTCTAGTGGTGATGCTTACTACTAGTGATCTCCGTCAGCTTACTTACTAACTAGTAAACAGCCTTATCCTCCCTTTATCCCTATGCGGCTGTGACAACTCCTGAGAGTATATATTTAGATGACTACTACTCTTCAAATGCAACTACAGATTACCACATCAACCGTGCTGCACTGAGCGCAAGACACAGCCAATTTCCATGGAGATACATTGCATTAGTGTGCTTAGTATGATAATCTACGCAGCCTTCTCTCTCATAGCAGCAATCATAAAGTATTGCACTGAGAAAGTTGATCGTTCGGATCCGAGCAGACTAAGCGGAAGCAATACTAGTACTGGATAAATGTTGCATTAATATTATGACGGCGGATACTCCGCGCAAGAGAATACTGAAAGAGGCAAGATGGTCCTTTCCGGATTGATAAGCAGCACTCTGCCCCGTCGTCCAGAGGGGCAATGCAATTTACAGTAGCACTGGATGGATGCTGGATAGTTCCTCGTGTTCGTGACTTGCTAATACTACTAAGCAAACCGTCAGCAGCAAAATCGACGTCGACCCAGCCTTGCAGATCCAGGGTACAAGGAAACCGCCACTGGAGCCAACCCTTTTTTATTTTTTTTTTTTGACCTGGTTGACTCCGGCACCCCGACTCCGAGAACAGAACGGATAGCGGAAGATGGAAGGAAAACCTTAAAATCCGAGCCAAATTGACTCGAAGCTAGAGGGCAGAAGGCGAGAGAAAAGCCGAAGAAGCCCCTTCAGCTTAACTAAGCCGACCGGGGGGAGGACTGAGTCAGCGCCCGTACTAACCAGATGGAGGCTTGTGAGTGGCTCAATGGGGATTAGTGGACGGGTTGCCTCAGTGCGGCATCCACGAATTGGGGCCCGTCGCCGGTCAGTCCCGGCTCAGGCTTGAGCTCGCCTCCTCACTCTACTGACTAGTAGTGAGGAACTACTAGTAGTAGTATTACTCTCACTGCCTCCTCCTTCCCTTCCAGCCCCGGTCTTTCTGCCAGCCATCCTGTCTCTTTTTTGACTCCCTCCACCTCCCTCCGCATTCCACCTCCTGGCATCTTACTGTTGCTGACGCTCGACTGCCCCTCGACACCTCCCGCGTCGCTCACCCACTCCCGATACGCGCGTCAAGCCCCGTCCGCCCTTGATCTACCCTGCCAGCTCCGCTACACTTGGTTTTCTGCTACTCTCGCCGAACCCTCCGATCGTTGCGATCTCGCGAACGACCATCCCCCCCCGGCCTGTCCTCCCCGCCGTTCGTCAGGTTCGAAGAAGCGACCGGGTCTGGAGCAGACTATCGCGACGAATTTCTGCTCCCTGTCTCAAATCCGCTATCCTTCGTCATCCGGTCAATCAACTGCGCGGCTGCGATTGTTGCTCCCCGAAGGCCTGCGTGGCCGCCTCACGCAGGGTCCCTCCGTCCTAACCGATCCGATGATTGCCGCCCGCCGCTGAACATAGTTCGGGAATTCACCCATTGTAAATGGATCCCATACAAGGGAAAGGGGACGAGGAACTGAGTCGGGCCTCCGACGAGGTTCCTCCGATTCCCGACCAGGAAGCCAAATCCACCAAGCGCGCACGATGGGCGACGAAACGCATGACCGCCGCCAGCGGTCTTCGGAAGAGAGTCTCCATCCTGGAACGGGGCAACCGTCGTAATACGCGGAACAACATAACTGATGCAGCAACCGCAGGGCCAGAAAGCACTGAAACAGAAACAGCTTCATCGCGGAAAGTCTACTTTAACCTTCCCATCCCGGACAGCGAGCGGGACGAGGAAGGCAATCTGAAGAACGTTTATCCCCGCAACAAGATTCGCACTTCTATCTACACGCCATTGACGTTCATCCCGAAGAACTTGTGGTTGCAGTTCCACAACATCGCTAATCTTTACTTCTTATTCGTCATCATTCTGCAGTGTTTCTCCATCTTTGGAGATGCCGACCCGGGTTTGAGTGCTGTTCCCCTGATCATTATCGTCGTGGTCACTTCGATCAAGGATGCTATCGAGGACTGGAGGCGAACGGTCTCCGATAACGAACTCAACAACTCCCCGGTTTACCGTCTGACCGATTGGCACAATGTCAATGTCACCCTTGACAATGTGTCCGCCTGGCGAAAGTTCAAAAAGGCCTGTACTCGGGCCACCGTATTCACCTACCGTGCCATGAAAAAGCTCGTGCGCCGCAAGTCCGCCGACAAAGACGTGGCTGGAGATGTTGAGATGGCGGATGCCCGGCCATCCGTGGAACCCACCTCTCCGATTGAGTTGAGGGCCGTGTCCCTCGATGCCCGTGCTTCTGGAGATTGGCCGGATCATGCAGATCATTCCGGCAGAAATGCGGCCTCGGGCCGCGTCAAGGGCGACATCCTCAACCCGACCAAGACTGCTTCCGGGCAGGCTCGCTTTAAGCGTCAGCATTGGAAGGATGTCAACGTCGGTGACTTTGTGCGGCTGTACAACGGTGACCAGATTCCCGCGGACATGGTGATTCTCTCAACCTCTGACCCGGACGGTGCCTGCTATGTGGAAACCAAAAACCTGGACGGGGAGACCAATCTGAAGGTTCGCCATGCCCTTAACTGTGGTCGCGCAGTACGGAATGCTCGCGACTGTGAAAGAGCGGAATTCGTTATAGAAAGCCCTCCCCCGCATGCGAATCTCTATTCGTTCAGCGGTGCCATTTACTATAACCAACAGGACGATCCCGAGGCGCCGCCCCAGGAACGGGTAGAGCCCATCACCATCAACAATATTCTCCTCCGTGGCTGCAGCCTTCAGAACACAGAGTGGGCGTTGGGTGTGGCCTTGTTCACCGGTTCGGAATCAAAGATCATGCTGAATCAGGGTATCACTCCGACCAAGCGACCACAAATGGCACGTAACATGAACTGGAACGTTCTTTACAACTTTGCGATCCTCTTTATCATGTGCTTGATATCCGGTTTCATCAACGGTTTTGCCTGGGGACTGGATGACGCGTCCTTAACTTTCTTCGAATACGGCTCTTATGGTGGATCCGCCGCCGTGGAGGGTGTCGTTGCCTTCTGGGTGGGTGTGGTCCTCTTTCAGAACTTGGTTCCCATTGCCTTGTACATCTCACTGGAAATCGTGCGCTGGATCCAAGCGCTCTTTATATTCTTCGACCAGCACATGTATTACGAGCGGCTTCAGATGTCTTGCGTCCCAAAGGCCTGGAACATCTCAGATGACATCGGGCAGATCGAGTATATCTTCTCGGACAAAACAGGTACTTTGACGCAAAACGTCATGGAGTTCAAGAAATGTACGGTCAACGGCGTCGCATACGGTGAGGCCTATACTGAGGCCCAGTTGGGAATGCAGAGACGCCAGGGTTTGTTGAATGTGGAGGAGGAAGCTGCCAAGGCTCGCCAACGTATCAGCGACGGTCGCGTGGAAATGCTGCAGCGACTGCGTCAACTGCACGACAACCCATATCTCAAGGACGAAAATCTGACCTTTGTCTCGCCTCAGTACGCAGCGGACCTAGGGGGTGCGTCCGGTGATGCCCAGAAGCAGGCTGTCGAGAGTTTCATGGCCGCGCTGGCTTTGTGCCACACAGTGGTTACGGAACGGATTCCGGGTGACCCCCCGCAAATTGAGTTCAAAGCCCAGTCTCCCGATGAGGCTGCCTTGGTGGCTACTGCTCGAGACTGTGGGTTCACAGCGATGGGTCGCTCGGGAGATAGGCTCCTTGTTAACATCATGAGTGAAGAACGCAGTTATAGGATCCTGAACATTTTGGAGTTCAACTCGACGCGTAAGAGAATGAGTGTTATCGTTCAAATGCCGGACGGAACCATCCGTCTGTTGTGTAAGGGTGCTGACACGGTCATTTATTCTCGCTTGGCTCCTGGTCAACAACGGCAGTTGAGGGATGTTACCTCACAGCACCTTGAGACCTTCGCTCAAGAAGGTCTCCGTGTGCTCTGCGTGGCAGAACGTATTCTCGACGAGGAATTCTACCGCGAGTGGAGTCTTAAGCACGACGTGGCAGCAGCAGCCATCGTGGATCGCGAAGAGAAACTGGATGAGGTTGCAGGTATCATTGAACAGGATCTGATGCTCCTGGGTGGCACGGCAATCGAAGATCGGCTGCAGGATGGTGTGCCCGATACCATCTCTTTGTTGGCTGACGCCGGTATCAAGCTCTGGGTCTTGACAGGTGATAAGATTGAAACGGCTATCAATATCGGTTACTCCTGCAACCTTCTGAACAACGACATGGATATCATGGTATTGAGTGCTCCAGATTCTGATATGGCTGCCAAGGAGCTGGACAGCAAACTCGAACAGTTCGGAATTACTGGCTCGGACGAGGAATTAGCCGCGGCACGCCAGGACCACTCGCCACCCCCATCGACCCATGCCCTTGTCCTCGATGGGGACTGTCTTCGTTTGATGTTGGACGATGCCCTGAGGCAGAAATTCCTGTTGCTTTGCCGGCGCTGCAAGTCCGTCCTTTGTTGCCGTGTCAGTCCCGCCCAAAAAGCGGCGGTTGTTGATATGGTTAAGACTGGTTTGAACATCATGGCTTTGTCGATTGGAGATGGCGCCAACGACGTCGCCATGATCCAAAAAGCGGATGTCGGTGTAGGTATTGCAGGAGAGGAAGGTCGTCAGGCAGTCATGTGTGCCGATTACGCCATTGGTCAGTTCCGATTCCTACAGCGTCTCATTCTCGTTCATGGACGATGGTCGTATCGGCGGCTGGGCGAGACGACGGCCAATTTCTTCTACAAGGTAAGCAACCCTCTAGGTTCCCGTTGGAGCGAACGGCGGGTCCTAGCTTGGCTCAAGAGCTCTGACGCTAATCTTGCCACAGAACTTGGTGTGGACGTTCGCGCTATTCTGGTATTCGATTTATGACAACTTCGATGGCTCCTACCTCTTCGAATACACGTATATTACCCTGGTGAACGTTGCGTTCACCTCCCTACCCGTCATTTTTATGGGAATTTTCGATCAGGATGTCGATGATAGGGTGTCTCTGGCCGTACCGCAGCTCTACATGCGTGGTATTGAGCGTAAGGAGTGGACGCAGTTGAAGTTCTGGTGAGTCTGCCTGCTTTGTCCCAAGTCTGCGGTTTTGAATTCAAGCTAACGGTTGATCAGGATCTACATGTTCGACGGCTTCTACCAATCCATTATCTGTTTCTTCATGCCGTACAGGCTGTACTCGGTGGCCAATTTCCAAACAGAAAACGGACTCAGCATCGACGACCGGTATCGCGTGGGTGTGCTAGTCGCCACCTGTGCTGTGGTTGCTAGCAACACCTACGTGATGATGAACATGTACCGATGGGACTGGCTCTCCAGCTTAATCAATGCGATCAGTTCACTGTTGATCTTCTTCTGGACTGGTGTTTACTCATCCTTTGAGTCATCGTTGACATTCTATGGCGCCGCTCGCCAGGTTTATGGTGCGCTGTCATTCTGGGTGGTCCTCCTTCTGACCGTGGTAATGTGCCTTATTCCACGATTCGTCATCAAGTGCATCCAGAAGGTCTACTTCCCCCTGGATGTCGACATTGTCCGTGAACAAGTCATCCTGGGCCAATTCGATTATTTGAAGAAGTACGAAGCCTACGTGCCACCCGGTGCTACCAAGCTGGCAGCTTCATCGGACAGTGAAGCCTCGACCATTCCCTCGGACGGAGGCCATACTCCTCAGCCCCATGTCACGCGCGACTACCCCGTGCCTAATGGAATTGACCGCACGGCGGACTCGACACCTGTTGCACCGTTAGTCGATGCCCAAGGCGCGCCAACCAACCTGGGCAGCCAAGTGACCAGCGCCAACGCGAGCAGCGTGGCCTTTGGACTCCAGCGCCGCGAGTCTTCCGAGAGCACCAGTCGAGACCAATCAGCTTTCTCGAGCCAACTCCTAGCCGTTGATTCCACCAGCATGGAACCTCAAATGCCTCACAGTCCACTCAAAAGCCGAAGCGACCCCTCGACATACCCTGTATAGATAGAGTCCGAGGCCCCCTCCCCTGCTTCTTCTCTTCACCCCCGAAAACTGTCGATATACATACACACCACTCCCGACTCGTTGCGATTTGACCAAAAGCTATTCAGCAACTTTCTCATTATCTACTTTCGATCTTTGATGCCTTCTGTGAAGTTATCTGTCACCTTTGTGTGATTCTTTCTTTCTTCTCTTTTTTGATTTACCCTGGAGTTGGTCGGTTTTCCTTCGAATTTCTTCATTCTATTGGTATTCCCCAACTTCACGGTGCATTTCTATTTTCAGTTTTTCCCTTATCTTGTTTCCACGTCTCGCCCTGCCGATTATAACACCTACCTACCTACCCCTTCGAGCTCAGCCAAATCTGGCTTGCCTATTCGGCATCCGTGCTGGCGTGCTTAATTTTTGTTCAACCACATAATGTCTGAATTCCTTTACGATCGTGAACAGCTTATTTCCTTTCCCTTGTTTATACCGACCTCGGATATATACACACAACGCAGTGTTGTAATATAGACAGCCATCTATTAGTGAATTACATGACTTTTCAGCATAAGATTAGCCCCCTCTATAGTCAACCTAGTGATCAAAGAAACTGTAATTCAAGCTCTTGAATATGGCCCCAATGTATCATGCCTAATATAGTACCCACATACACAAGAAAACATCCCCAAACACATCTCTAAACCTCCCCTCCATCTTTCAATTTTTCCTCACTCCCCCCTTTCCCATCCCCATCCACACCCCCCAATTTCGCCGCCACATCCTTTGTAAACCTCGCATCTACCCCCTCGGCGAAACACGCCGCAATCACAGACAACCCACCAAACGCAATACTCGCCAAAAACACCGTGCGAAACGACTGCGAATACGCCGTCTTCACCGCCTCTGTCACCTTCCCCAGAATACTCGCCGTCATGCCGGGGACAGCATCATACGCAGCCGTCGTCCCCGCTGACACCGCCTCAAGCAGATCTGTCAGCGACGATGAAGGTAAACCAGCATTCAACGCGACGGCAGACACATCGCGCGGCAAGTCCACCGCGATGCGGTTGTCCAGGATGGCGACGTAGATGGCGGTGGCGATGGTGCCGGCAACTTGCTTTGCAGAACCAAGGAAGCCGCTTGCGAGGCCGATGTCTTGAGGTGAGCAGTACAATGGGCACATGATTATAGTTATCAGTTCGAGGTAGCCGACCCAGAAGCCGCCGATGGCGGTGAACTATTCGATCTATCTTAGTAACATTGCGATGGGGGGAAGAATTGGGGATAAGCGTACTGCGATGCCATATGCCTGGCGGTATTGGTTGATGGATGCCAGGGCGCCCGAGAATGCGGTGATCATCAGAGTGGTTATGATCAGTTGGTATTTTGTGTATCCCACGGGTTTCATTAGTATGCCGGCGGCGACTTCGCCAACGATGACGCCGGCGCCGGTGGATATCTATGCAAGGGATGTTGGTTAGAGGATGGCTTTGTAGGTGGTGGCAGGGGAGGTACTTACTGAAAGCCAGCCAGTTTTGATGGTGTCGGTGGTGTAAAGGGCGGTGATGGCGGTTGGCCAGAGGAGACTGTAATGCTTTGTTATTTGATTGACATCAAGGAGACTGGGAATATAAGCATACCTCATGGAGAAGTAGACCATGTTTCCTACTAGGGCCGAGCATACCGCACCGGCGTATCCACGGTTTCGGAGTAAGGACATGGGGAGGAGGGGCTGCTGCAAGGGAACGAAAATTTCTGTTGATTGGGAAGGGAGTGAGTTAGTTTACTAAGTAGTCTGCGGTACATGGCTGGCTCACGTACCATATAGAGCAAAAGCAAGCAAGCAGATGAATCCGATGACCAGAACAGCAACGACATGGGCTGAGTGCCATGCATATGATGAGCCACCCCATGCTGATGAAATTGAGTTAGCACCCTATGAGAACCGAGTCAGAGCTGTCCGGGAAGCTTACAGAGACCAAGCAGGACTAGAATCAATCCGCCAGCGTACAGGAGAAAGCCAATATAGTCGAATTTCTTGAGACCATCGATGCGACTCTCGTTTCCGCGCTTGGCATCCCAGCCAGGAGGGAAGTAGAACAAAACCAGCAGAATGATAGATAGACCACAGGTGATGATGTTTAGGTAGTAGGTCCAGCGCCAGGAGCGGGCGGTGTTGGCGATGAACAGATCTGCAATCAGAGAACCAAACGCAGAGAATGGCAGCGTTGTGATGAAGATGCCGGCGTTGACAACCGGACGAGCACGGTTGGGGACCAGCTCAGCGATCACGAAGCTGAAAGTTAATTGCACTGCAGCAGCCAGACCGCAGAGGACACTGCCTCCGATGACGGTGGGAACGGTTTTGGCCGTTGCGCAGACTATGGCGCCGATGAGGCCGAGGAGTTGACCTCCAATCAGGATGTATCGGCGACCAAAGAGGTCTCCTAAGCGACCAACTAGTAGGAGGCCAACCTAAAGTGTGCTTAGCAAGTCTGTATACTTGGAAGAAGCATATTTCAGCAAAAGGAGGACGCTCATACTCCGGAGATCAGAGTGAAAACGGTCGAGATCAAGCTGTAGCTGGGGTCCGGCCCTGCAAGTAAAAAGACAGTCAGTCAGCAACTGTTGGCTGATAGTTCCAGGTAGTCCACCTTTAGAGGGGAGATCAACATACCCAGGTCAGCATTGATAGCGCTCAAGCTGTTTACCTACTTGATGGTCAGCGACAGGATTGCTTCGGTAATGAAGGGAGAGACTGACTGGTAAGACATAGCCCAGGTAGAGACTGATGGCCATCAAACACACGGCAATGAGAGAGCCGACAAAGTTCTTACTGCAGTAGTATCCGGCCGGCAATTCATCTAAGTCGACAGGGGTGGCCGTTAGCTCACCGGAACTCTTTTGGTCCATTATCCTGCCTTAGAAAAATCACTGGCGGAAGCGGATTTGCGAAAAATAACGAGGAAAGGAAGGAGACAGGGGGATAGAATTAAAAGAAAAGCCGGTTAAAACGTGGGAAGACAAACTGCGGATAAAGCAGCAGACGCCAGCGCAGAAATGAAGCCATGACGAATCGGAACGGAAACAACTGGCCTGGACCCAGTCCAGGAACATCAAACCATCTGGAAAGCGCCGATTCGAGAGGGGTGAAATTAGGGCACTTTGTGATCCCTGCCTAGTGCGTTCGTGGAGTCCGACGGTGTCACGGCGCCATATTAGTTGGACAACTAGCATTTCCGTCCCTGGGAGCGGGTGGAGCACGTATATTACTCTTCACCATATGGCCAGGACCAGTCTTGCTCAGATCGTCTTCAGAGGATTAATGTCCATGGATTATGCTCTCTCCTCACTCAGCCAACCGAAACCTCGAGACGGGTCGCTCGGCGAAATCCCATCCCAGCATCCTGAATCCTGCATCCTGCACCTAGTACTAATGATGTATCTGAAGACATAACGTTTCGAAATGCCCCCGCAAATGTAGGCTCTCTGGAATCTGACCCGGACTGCGACTTCCCTCGCCCTTCTTTCGTTCTCGCCAGGCCACATAGACACCCTTCCATGGAAGTCGTATGGAAGGAGGTGTCGTCGACCGACCCTCCAGTCGACTTGAAGGCATCTCGAGTGTCGTCAATTATTGCCTGCAACACCGTTCTTCTCGTGATTGCGACCGCAGGGCTTTCAGTCCGTCTGTTCGTCCGACTTCGCTACCTCTCAGGGCTAAACTTTGATGATCTGTTATGTGTGACCAGCTGGGTACGCTTCCTGGCCCAGTTGAATTCGCTCATGCTCCCCCAAATATTGACACTAGGTTGCCCAAGGTCTTCACTTTTGTTCTGTGCTTTGTGTGTATCTGGAGTGAGCTGCCATGAATCAAATGCGCACACGAATGGATAAAGTTGACGCATTTCCTCCCACAGTGACCCGCTATGGCTACGGAAAGCACATTGCGACGATAAATAACTTGGAGAAGCTTGAGATGTTTCTTAAGGTTTGAAATTCACTAAAAGAACAACGAGACCGCTTTCATGCTGATCAATTTTCATTGATATATAGCTTGACTTTGTCAGCATGATTGCGTATCTTCTCGCCCTCGGCACCGTCAAGGTCTCATTCTGCCTCCTTTACCTGCAGATCTTCCCCGGAAAGGCGTTTCGAATCGCTTGCTGGAGCCTCGTGGGCCTCCTTGTCGCTGAAACGATCGAGGAAACATTTGTCGTGATCTTCCAATGCTCACCTATTCACAAGGCATGGGATGCTAGCGGCAACGTCAAAGGCCAATGTCTATCTCTGACGGCCTTCTACTACATCTCCTTCGGAATCCGCTTGGCTACTGATCTAGCGCTCTTCGCTCTCCCTCTTCCCAAAGTGATGCAATTGAATATGACATTAGGCAAACGAGCCGGACTGGTGATAATGTTTGGATTGGGTGTGCTGTATGCTGGTTCCCCTAAGCTGGAACCCACGTGGGAGCTAGGAATAACCGCGATTTATAGGGTGTCTGTGACGAGTATAATTCGAGCGACGTATATAAGCAATTTCTCTGAGGACCACACCTGTGTGTTGCCCCTTCCTCTGGACCCTTGCGTGTGCTGCGGCTAATGACCCATTTACTACATGAATAGGGACACTTGTCAACACTCTCAATTGGTCTAGTGTCGAAGTGGCTGTGGCCATCTTCATCGCCTGCATCCCTTCTTTTAAATCGCTCATTAGCTTCCGATTTCCTGCTTTACAACGGCTACTCGGGCTTTCCAGCAAGGGCGACTCGACCGGTCGGTCGAAGATGTATGGGACATCGACGCGTCGGACCAATAATGGGCGATCCATCATTGGACACCAGAGTATCAAGCTGAATACTATGACGGGGCAGAGCCGGGCCGATGTTGAAGCTAGTCGCAATGGCTCAGAGGAGCGGATTATTGGGGCCCATGAAGGCATTCAAGTCACCACGGATGTGAGTGTAAATGAAAGTGATTGATATGTGGTATAGTTGGATCATATTTCTTTACAGATTTCTTATATTATCTATAATGTCTATAAATTCGTGATCTCTCACTATCGGGTTCGTTCTTACCTGCAATGGACGGAACAATGTTGTATGTGCGGACCAGTCACTAAGTTAGCACACGCACTCATCGATCAATGTAACTAGCTCCAATGGCACCATGCGTGACCGCGACCAAGGGTTAAAGTCGAGAAGCTATTGATCTTAGCGCTGAGGTCGCCTTTAGGGCATGTGAGGTGGGCCCGTTCGGAAAGGTTTCCCCGAGAAGGGAAAAACCATCAACCATGCGAGTCGAAGCCGCGGACGACTTCCGGGGAAGGTGACCTTGGCGGAAAATATAATGTAATCCCTGGTGGGAGAGCAAAGAGCTATTTGATTCATACGATGGGCTGGCTGCCAGTCAGCTCTATAAAATCGGATTAAGATATCATTCAAGTAGAGTTTTTTCGAACCCTCTCAATGATAAGTTTGAAGCTCGTGAATCGACGGATTGTCTTTCCACTGATCCGCGGGACAAGCAATTTCAAGCTTAATATCGAAATGACCCACTTAGCGTGGTGCTTTCAGCTTCCACGACCTCCGAGTCCAATGGAAACGCCCAGGATCAAGCCTCCTTTACTTGCTGAGGCAACGTGCATGCTGTCGGTTTTCTACCGGTGTCGCATATGCCTTGGCCAAAGTGACTAGTTGGCTAGCCCAAGCACCGCTGAGGCCACGAACAGGCTTCCCTAGACCTGCTGTGTCTTGGTAAAGCGTCCCAGGGCGCTGTTTGCCCCTGTAGGTGTTGCATGGACATCGGAGATAATCAGCTCGAGAATGAAGGGGTGTTTTACCCGATTACTAGAAATCTGTCTTCCGCCAGCCACCCCCTTCCCCAACAATGATCAGAAAGAATAAACAACCGAATCCTTCGCTTCCCTAAACTATATCCAAGCCAAGTATGGTGGCCTTAGAGCGGGCTTGTCTCGGCCGATCATAAAACCCCGAGAAATCGCAGGAGCCAGTCGTGGGATGCCAAGCCACGAGGGCAGGGGAAGCCAAGTTGATTAAAGCTATTTAGTAACTGACACAAGCGTCTTGGCTCGTAGTCCATCCACCAAACCGTTCCCTCCCAAAGGCTGAAGCTGTATATATGAATCGCCCGCCTTCTCTCCGGCTTTGCCTTTTCTGGTAGTACCTGGTAAGACCTCATGTTCTTTGTATCAGATGTCATCTGTGCTCATCATTCCGCGCGTCAGAGGAAATTATCGACCCACCAAGCCCGCATTTTCTTTGTCCGCTCGAGGGACCATTCATGCTGAACGTGTCCGCTTCTGTAAGCCAAATTATAACCAATCGGAAACCCCATGCTCGCACCCGAGGGCCGTAGTGCAGTCGACGACATAGTAAGCGAAAAGATCCCTGCTAACGCGATCCGTCTCATTCTAACACCACCAATGGACTAAGCCATTGTCACTCTATTGGGCCTTTACCACGCCGCGACATATTTCCCCGGAGCGTTTAGCGTGGCGGATTTTGGCCGACATGCGGTATCGCAGCGCCACGAGTCCGTTGTTTGTCCCCACCATGATGGCTTGACGCCAGTCCGCCGTTTCCCATAGGCACAGGGGAGGCAAGCTAACAAAAGAATTATCCGATTGGTCTGGACAGCAGTCTGATATCAACAGGAATGTGCACTGGACCAGGGTATCTGGGTAAATTGGGAGCCATCATGGTGTCCCCTGGAATCAGACCAGACCTTTTGTCCTCGATCCGTGGAGCTGTTTGCTGTCTCCCTAATGAGTCCTTCCCGAGACATAATCTAGGCCCCAGGTTACTCCTCTCGTTAGACTCATCATGAAGCAGTCCCAACCCTCTCAAGGACACCATGCCATCGTGTTCGGCTGTTCAGGCATCAACGGCTGGGCCCTAGTCAACCAGCTACTCACAAACTACCCAGCCCCAGGGACTTTCAGCAGAGTGACAGCGGTTGCGAACCGTGCATTCACAGCCGAGGAGGCACACTGGCCAACAGATGATCGTATCCAGATTGTCTCCGGCGTGGACCTCCTGGCGGGCGATGATGCAGCGCTGAAGAAGACCCTTGCAGAGAAGATCTCATCTGTCGATACGATCAGCCACGTGTATTATGCAGGTATGTAGACCGCTTCCTGATTGCATGCATGCATATCAAATTATTGTGTCTAACCGTGAGGGTTTCAATATCTCTGCAGCATATCGTGCCAGCGATGTCCCCGCCGAAGAATGTCGATTGAATAAGGAGATGCTTCGAGCTGCTGTTCAGACGCTGGAGACTCTCTCTCCAAAATTGTCTTTTGTTACTCTCATTACTGGCACAAAGGCAAGTCACCTGCATATTCATATTATAAACACATGATCTTTCACGTGTAAGAGGCTAACAACAACCATCACATCCAACAGGCATACGGCGTCTACCTCCTCGACAAATTCCCCTTCCGGAACCAAATACCCTTAAAAGAAGACCTCCCCCGCGTGCCAGCCGAATACGCCAAAGACCTCTTCTACTACCACGAAGTCGACCTGTTGCAGGAGCTCTGCATCGGAAAGACCTGGTCATGGTGTGAAGTCCGTCCGGACGTGATAGTACGTCGCCACCCCCTTCCACCCCTTCCACCACTCCCCCCAAACACACTAACCGAAAACCCATGAAAAGGTCGGCCTCGCTCCCTTCGGCAATGCAAACTGCATGGCTCAAACAATGGGCATCTACCTCTCCCTCTACCGCGCCCTCGAAGGCCCCAATGCCCGCGTTCCCTTCCCCGGCAACAGCACAACCTGGACACTCCAATCAACCGACTCCAATCAAGACATAATTGCGCGGTTCTGCATCCACGCTTCCCTCCAACCGCGTGAAAAAGTCCATACCCGAGCATTTAATATCGCGGACAGCGCACGCCCCGTCGCATGGTCCGAGCGATGGCCAATCCTGGCGTCGTATTTCGGGTTGGAAGGTGTGGGGCCGGAGGAGGGTTCCTTGCACCCGACGGAGTACATGGATCGGAACTGGGAGAAACTGAGACAATTGTGTAGTGACAGGGAAGGGGTGAAAGAGGAGGTGATTTATCGCAGTATGCATAATACGGGTGCCAGGATGGGGAGTCTGAGGTTGATGGATTTCGATCGCCCGTTTGATCTAGGGAGAGCGAGGGAGATTGGGTTTACTGAGGAGATGGATACGAGGACGTCGTGGTTTGGGGCGTTTGAGAGGGTGAGAGGGATGGGGATTATGTTGTAGATAGACATTTTCCTTTACCATTCTGGTCTGGTCGTGTCATATAAGTGTAAAGAGACTATAGGTAATGCCGACGGTGGTGGTGGTGTGATTAATTAGGTCACTGGCTATTATACAGAAGCTTGAATATAATATGCCGATGAATGTACCAGCCAATCATAGATCGATCGACTGATGAAATGTACGACTCAAGTCCACTCAAGCTTTCAATGGTGTCAGATGTTTCGTATACAGGCTTCCGATGACAACTATGGTCTTTTCTTCAGTATATACTAAACGATCCACACCACTCACTAACAGCTATAGAAAACGAGCGATTGTGTTTCCAACACCGCAGCATGATGTCTATATAAATACTACTAGCAGGCAAGACTGAATCTATGTAAGAGGCTTTTGACAGTCCGTAGGAATTTTCTATCTTAGTAGTATCATAGTGCCAGCCTGTCATAAATAGTAAGAACTTGAACTTTTTGAATACCCCATAATGTCATTAATCCTCTTTCTAGTACTACTATTTTTGAGACTATTGGTCTATAACCCGTCACTACTTCTTTAACGTAGTTTAGGATACATATAGAAGGTGCAGAGATTTGAGCCCACTTTAGTACTCACTATTATGTCTCGTCAGTGTCAGCCATGGTGATTACGACTACACAATCCAGGACGCAAGCCAGTTCATGGATAAATAGAGAGAGGGGACTGCAGCCAACTATAGGGGAACAGTATTAATATCGAACCAAGGTGAGAATTTTGATATTAGACGAATTGAAACAGCTACATCGCCTTCACACCCCCCCGCTTGTCAACCATAACCCACATATCACGCCAGAATCCAACGCCTCCCTTGATCACAAAATGCGCGGAAGGTTTGCCGGCAATAGAGTGAAGCTTGAAATTGCGGAATAGCTGTATCGAATTAGAAAACGACAGAATATAAAAGATTGTAAGGGATAGGATGGGGAGGTACAAACCTGCAGAGGGCCCTTGAACAGCTCCATCATCGCAATATCCTTGCCCAAACATACTCGCGTCCCGTAACCAAAAGTAAACATATACTTGTTCATGAGCTTGGCGCGCTCTGCGTCCAGCCAACGCTCTGGGTTGAACACATTTGCATCAGCGCCAAACACCTCCTGATCGCGGTGGACGATCCATGGGTTAGACGAGATCTCCGTGCCTGCGGGTGCGAACTGGCCATAGAGATCGATACCCGGCTCGGAGACATATCGAGGAAAAAGGTTTGGCGCGGAAGGGTTCAGGCGCAAGGTCTCGCGGACACACGCGGCGTAGTAGGGCAAGTGCTCCACAATCTCCTGGTACTGGGCCATTGGACTGATGAGGCCCTTTCGGGCAGCATCATCGATCTCGGCCATCATGCGCTCGTACACCTCCGTGTGGGTCATGAGGTTATATACCAGCGCTTGGAAGACAGTTCCGGTGGTGTCGGCGCCAGCAAGAAGGACTAAGAGGACCTCTGCCCGGATGTACTCCATGTCTAGGGGCTTGCCCTCTTCGGTGCGGGCCTCGAGGAAGGTCTGGAGGAGATCGATCCGGCCGATGTCCTTCTTTTCTTCGAGGTCGCGCAGACGCTGGTCAATGAGTCGGTCGCGGAAGCGCATCAGGACTCCGATACCGGAGTCATCTTGGGGAGTCGCAACCAGGTATTTCTTCATGAAGGTCGTCTTCATCCAGCTGGTGAAGGGGTGGAGACGCGCCAGGAGACCGAAGGCTGGCAGGCCGTCGTGGAAGCCTTGTACTAGACCGCCGACGTCTTGTCCTTGCTCGACGAAACCAAAGGGTGCACCGAAGCCGACCTCGCTGATGATGTCGTATGCCATGTAGCTGGGAGAAATGTTAGTATGGCCTGCGGGATGAAGGGATGGGTCCAAGAATAGCACGGCACTCACACTGCCCACCATGAGAAGTCGAAGACAGCGCCCGTGCGGGCGAACCTCTCGTCGATTTTCTGTAGCCAATGCTCAATGTGGGCGTCGAGGAGCGGCTCCATGCGCTTGACGTTGCTAAAGCTGTACTGTGCAGGTATCAGTCGAGTGGGCTCTGAAGAAATAAAGAGTCGAGTTGAGCGTACTGGGCCGGCAATGTGTTTCCGGAATGCCGCATGCGTCTTGTGAGAGCGCATGTTGAACAGAGACTCGGTCTCGCCGAAAGATCCGGTGATGTAGTGTCCCGTTTTGTCGGCATTGCGATGGTAGATGTCGGGGAGCTTCTTGGGGTCGCTGACAAGCAGGAGCGTGGGTGTGATACGGACTACGGGGCCTGGAAACGTTTGAGTCAGGCTTAATTCCTTTCGCAACTTGTTATTCAGGTAGTACGATGGTTTAGCGTACCATATTTTTTTGTGAGATCGTACACTGTCTGCAGTTCAGTCTCGCGCAGATTATGCCATGCAATCCAGAGTCGGGTGACGCCGCCCCAGAATGGACCAGGAAACTTCGCCAACGGATGGAAAAAGTGGTAATAAACGATCTGGTACACGAATTGAAGGACCACATAGGCGACCAGACCCAGGATCACGTTGGTGGTCGTGACCTTGGAGAGGAGATCTTCACCCAGGCCCATGATTGTTGTTGCTTTTGTAGTCGGCGAGCGGACAGATGGCAACAGAATTCACTGGGAAGCGACCCCAAGCTCTTAAAACATGATCACCGACAGCCGTTGGAGGGGAGCTTTGGACTTAGGCCCGCCCTAGGTCCAGCACCGACATCTGGCTCCTCTCTCCTACGTAAATGTGGCCAGACGACGAATCAGTTAGCCTCGTAGTGGTACCACTGAAGAAGCGGCGGTGCGCCATCTAAGCATGTACCGGGACTCGATCCGAGGAGAACACCACTGAGGCTACTGCATTGGGAGGGTAGACAATATGACCGGAGTGTCGATCCAACCAGACTGGAGCCATTGACAAGCGTCACTCGAAGATCCACCCCCAGTGCCGACAGACAATGACCAGTCTAGTCCGTCAGAGCAGCGTCGAGCCGACGACGTACCTTAGTGGTGCGGGGACAAAGTGAAGACTCATGAGCAGGGAGAAATGCGCGGCCGAGGGTTTAGGACCTCCAACGGCTCCTAGTGTCTCTGATGGAGTGGGCTTGCCGAGTCGCGATGAGCCATTATTGGCCGTGGTTAAGCTCTCGGGGGAGCAGTTGACACTTGTCAGGCTCGAAGTTTGTCAGAGACTGCTACTGAAATGGTCATGTCCTGACATCAAGACCATGGAACCATTTCTAGTTTGATGAAAGGGACCATTCCTTCCGTGCCAGTTTGTGGAGTGCCGTTCTTGCCATATATACTTATCCCCCCAATCCATTCATCTTCTATTCATCTATCAAACTATCGGGATACCGCCGGATCCCACAAACAAAGAAAAACCCAAAAATCTCGTTGCTCGACGTGTTCGACAAAGTCCTTTGTGCTAACAGCAATCAAATTGGGGTCCACCGGGGGAGGCGACGTGAGAGGCCAGATCCACCCACAGACATCCCCCTAGCAGGCCCTAACGGAGACTAACTCTGACGCCGGCCTGGAGCTGGGCCGCGATCGGCACTCCATCCATGGCTCCAGGAAAATAAAATGATTACACCCTTCGCAAGTTGCAGAAGGGGTGTCAAAACAGGCCCAGAACTGCAGAAACAGGTATGGCAAGCAAAGATTCCAGGATTCCCTGGAGAAATTGCCGGTTTAGTGTCGGCTTGCCCATTGGAGTCCTACGCAGTAGACTACTAATGGCGCACTTCGTTATGCCTAGAGTCGGTCTTTTGACCACAAGACACTATTGATTGCTTCTGCAACTGTCGAAATTTTTGTGATACTGAGAATTAGGAATACTCTCAGCTGAGGATGGCAGCATTGCGCCTGTTGATATATCACTTTTTGATACCAATGTCGCTATGCGTGGCGGACGGACTTGTACACGGCCTGGAGGGGCCGCTTTGACAATTTGGATGGGAGGAGTAGCAAGGTTCTCCTATCTACTTACGAACGTATTTTCTATCCATCCATCTCACATGGAATTCCAACGCAGATTTTCACCGTTGGATCGAGAGAAATTGGTGGTCGCGACTACTGGATCGGAAGCACGGCCGATAGCCCGAGGTCCGTCCCCGAAGCCACTCACTAAACCCATTCCCCGTCAATCTTATTCGCTCCTTGAACATCAACATGAGTCAATGAACCAGCATGAGACTAAACTCCTTTCACAAATCCAACACCTTGTTAGCTGGTGCATAAACTGGCTGCCTTGAAGAACCAAAAAAGCATTAAGGGGTGGTTTTCAATCCTTTGGATCTATTGACCGAGCTACAGTGAGTTTTCAGTAGTACAGGCTTCCGCGTGCCAGGGCGACCAATAAAGATCTGCCCTACGCTCCCCAGAACGTCTCCCAAGCCACCAGGATTTGATCCTGCGCACATCGTCTTCGCAGGCATTCGCAGGCATGACGCCCGACACCCGGCGTAGACCACCTTTTTGAGCAGAAGACTCGCCGTTCAGAATTGTCTGGACGGGTCCATCCCCAGTGGAGTGGGTCAGCATTTGCGCTCAGGGCGACTATCAGTCAAGGCCCTAATCCGGTTGGAGCAAAGCCGGCAGCGATTCTCCTGCCTTTCAGACACCGGTCGTTTATGGTGCGAATAGTGCCGGAATTTACTTCCTTCCGTTTTCTCCAGTCCTCCCGCGTCTCGCAGACAGCCATTACCCTGTCACAGAGGTGCTTGTGGTGGCTTGACTTGGCTGGCTGCCGTACGTTCCGGGGATGAGGTTGTCGCAGTCACTGTCTACATGAACACCGATTATCAAAGATTAACGAGAACGTGGTGGCAACCTCTGCAACAAAAGTACAGATTAATATCCAGAATTTTGTTCCACTTCTTGCGAACATCGGAATCCCCCCCGGCGATATGACCCATCTTCAGTGACGATCGTGCCCCAACTGCTATTCTTGTCGCCGATGGCCACTCAGTAGACAGCGACTAACTTTCTAGTGGCACTCCCGATTAGCCGTGGAGCGATAGGTTCAACGACACATTTTCTGTATCAGATTCGATGAGCGGAGTCGGCCAGTGCATCCGGACTTGATGCCCACCACTCCAGGACCCAAGATGTGGGCTACGTACGAACTGTCACTGGAGTCCCCGATTCTTGGTCGCTACTCGCGCGAGACCTTGCTTTTTCCTTCCGTTCTTCCAGTGTCGCTAGCCAACTCTTGGTGCCGTCTGAAATTTTCCCTCGCAGTTTTCCCTTTTTAGGAAACGCCATTGTCCATCAGACTCCAGTTTCTCCAACATGCGAGCTTGACCCGCACCGCTGGGGGTCGTCCAAGAATGAGTCCCGGGGCCCTGCCAGGGGCATTCGATGCAGCGATGATCGCGATGGCGCACATGCGCGAGATTGCCTTCCGTTAAATCGCAACTCAATCTTTAACCCCTCGGAAGTTCCCCTTCTAGAAAATGACTGTCTTCTCTGTGAATGGTGTGTGTGGTGCATGAGCGACTGCATCTGATGTGTTGCACTCGATAAATAGACCTTGGACTTTCCCGATTCATTACCCAGCATTGTGCGCCTTGCCCTCTTCTGTCCGTTTGGACTGTCAACATGGCAACTACACAGGGACCAGTAATTGCTGGTGTTGCGATCAGTTTCGCGATCCTGAGTTTTGTGACTATCTGTCTACGGCTGTTTGCTCGAATCTATGTCTTGAAGCGAATGGGCTTGGATGACTGTAAGTCAATATTGTCCTCGCCCTCCTTGACTGTGTCCAATCTGTGACTGACCTACTATTCCTCCTAGATCTGATTATCGGCGCCTGCGTAAGGGGATCGTTTCCGGATCGATGCGATTGAGCTGACCTCTCACCCAGCTTCTATCATGGGCATTTACAGCAGTTACCATAGTCGGTAAGATAATTCCTCTTGCCCGCATGTGAGGGCGGAGACTGACACTGTATAGCTGTCAAGCATGGTATGGGCCAGCACATGGTGGATGTGGATCAAAGTGGTCTTATCACATACTCTTTTGTACGTCACCTCAACTTCCACTTATGATATCGCTGCTGACGGCATGACCAGGCCGTCTGGTTGAGTTCGATGTTCTACCTGGCCGCCCTTGGCTTTGTCAAAACCTCCGTCTGTTGGTTCTACACCCGACTTGGTGACAAGCAACTCACGCGCATGTCTCTCGTCATGATGTGTGTTGTGGGTTGCCAAGCCACTTCATTCGTTCTGACAGCTGCGTTTCAATGCAATCCCATTGCTCGCGCCTGGAATACTAGCATTCCTGGACGCTGCGTAACAATCAACGTCTTCTACCTCGCCAACGCAGCGCTGAACATTACGACCGATCTGCTCACCTACTCGCTGCCGATCCGGGTCATCCTGAAGCTACACATGCCAAGGAAACAGAAGTTGGCCCTCGGTGGTATTCTCTGTCTTGGTTTATTGTAAGTAGTACAATGCCTGTTAATCTTGAGGTAAAGCACGTGTCTCTTTGCTTACTCGCAATATCTAGCGCTTGCATCTCCTCCATCATCCGAATCACCTACATCCCCGCAATGCTCACCTCCAGCGACTCCACCTACGCCATCAGCGGCGCCATGTACTGGTCCGCCATCGAGATTAACGTCGGCATCTTGGCCTCCTCCATCCCGTCCTTCAAAGCCATCGCCTCTCGTTTCCTCCCCCGCTTGATTGGCGAGTACAGCTCGAACCGCGGCTACGGCGGATGGTCGAGCAGCAACATGAGAAAAGAAGAATCCGGCTTCTCCAAGGGTCGGGAGCATCCATTTGATATGAGTATTCTGCAGACCCAAGATGGGGACGCCATGACGGGCACGCAGATTGGGAGGAACAACAGCCAGGAACGCATTATTATACCGGAAGGGAAGATTTATGCTCATACGGAAATCGAGACGAATGTCGAAGTCAGTACGGAGTACTATACTCGCCCGATGCAGTCGTTTGATATTCCTCGGTCTCTGGGGACGCATAGTTCTTGAGAGGATAACTATACCTTTACTTTCGTCTACTTTTTTGTTCTTTATTCCTCGTTACTTATCTGCATATACCCTTCTCTTCTTCTCACGTTCACTTAATTCCTATTTTATTTCCTACTTACTTACCTTCCCCTTATTTCCCTTACAAGGGAGCTTTCTTGATCCCCAATCCTTCCTTTTCAACGGCCCCCCCAGAATATCTAGATGAATACCAACTAGAATGACCTCGGCAACAAACCTTAACAAATTGACCGCCGAATCCTGCAATAAACCATGCGGGTAGACTAACTAACTCAAATAAAACCCCGTGATTGTCAAAGCAAACCTAGTTTAGTAGAAACTATTGAGAAAGCTAAACCTAACCCCCCGGCCGCAGTGGTATTCTATCTATCATATGCGCACCACAGCAGACAAAGAATCAATGCAAGGATGACTAATACTCTGTGACAGATGATCTAGTTACATGGCAGGGATGATGATTTGTCACTCCACTGTCTTATCTTTTGGTAGAAATCAAGTGGATCCATAGTGCGTAGCAAGATCATCCATCTGTCGAGACAATAGATTTACATACTGTAGACAAACGCATGATCGCGCATTATAAGATCACGATAGGGCCAGTATGCGACCATCAATTATTCTGCTTTACCCGGCTTACTAGTAAGTAGCCATCAGAGCTGGGATAGGCTATTCTCGGGCATACCGTGAGGTGATAGGGCCTGATCTTGATGGATATGGAAATCCTTAAAGAAAGGGGCTGCGGACTGCAATTGCCAGACGATCGCAGATCCAGTTTACTGCATAATGCACATTTGTAGTAGATAGTTTCGTCGGGGCAGCGCTCGGGCGCAACTATCACCATCAAATCAAATTTGTGGTTGTTTTCTAATGGGTTAGACATGACGACTGTGTATGCTTTGCACGGAGTACTCCGGTGATGTGCAGGGTTGCTTGCTGCAAGAGATACGTACTGTGCTGCTCCTGCACATCAGCAATACGGCCTTTCGTTCTCCCCCTCCTCTATCTCTCTTGGGAGGCGTTTTCAAAGTACAAAGTCTTCGCCACCAGTTCGTTCAGAATATTGCTTTTTATCTTCTCTTTTTTTCTTTTTCGTGGCAAGACGTACTTTTCCGAACGTGAGCGATTTCGGATGGAAATTACCTAATCTTAATTTATTGTCTGCCCCCTTCCTTTTCTTTTTCTCTTAGGGCTCGGAGAAACTCATAGTATGATGGTTGCTTTTTTTTCCCTCTCAAATCGATTCATTGTGACAATTTACTAAAAGTGCTACTTACTTTTGAGGTCAGCTCCACTTGGTGACGGATGGGTCCGTCGGGCAACTTACAGGACCCGCAATCTGGAGATGCAGTAAGTGGTTGCCTTCAATTTGGATGCTCTGTGCGTTGAGAAGTGGCTCGGTGAGCTGATGCAACTGACTACTAATTGCTGTACTAAGTATTCCTTTGGTTGTCGGCTGGCTGGTGGGTTTATGTGTTTGAATATTCGGACTTTTAGTACTATCTCTGCCTGCGTGGTCAAGTTTTGGTCTCCGTGGCACTCTGGATGCTTTGAATGCAATCAATTACGAATGTGCCTTGTTCTATACTATGCCTCATTGATTTGGCTGTGTTATTATACGGAATACTCCGTCCCTTCAATCAAGCCTATTTCCATGTTTACGATGGTGTTCGATGGAGTTCTGGCCTTGGATCGAGCGATAGGGGTGTAGTTTGGATGGTTATGATGTTATCAATGAGTGCAGACTGGATATGTCTGGATTACTGGTGATGTAAGTTCCTTTTGAGGAAGACCCGGAAACAAGACTGGGAGAAGACTAAACAACCGTGCCCCTGGAAGTATGGTACCCATGCCCTGTAAGCAGATGCTAAGCACCGGGTTAACCAAGATTTGCGCAAAGGTTAACCTTGATGGAGGCAAATGGTTCTATCTATACATATAGTAGTGAATACCTTGTTGCGCGTGATGTTTCTCGGTCGACATTTGAATCTACACCGAATAAACTTTGCTCGTGAAGATACAGTCCTCGAATCATGGCCCCTCCTTCAGAAAAGACCAAGGCTCAAATCGGCCAGATCCTCACCGGGGTCGAACACATCACTCGCCACAACCAAGACCCCTTCAAGGTGATGATTGAAAACTTCATCGGCTATACGCACGTTCCGGTTGGATTAGCTGGACCGCTACACATTCGGACGCCCACAGAGCCCGACAAGGAGATCTGGGCGCCCATGGCCACCACTGAGGCCGCGGCAGTCGCCAGCTGCTGTCGCGGATGCAAGGTTGCCAATGCCTCTGGTGGTATTGAAGTCCACATGGGGGAGGAGGGCATGACGCGCGGCCCGGTCTTTCGCTTCCAAAATCCCGGAGATGCGTTGCGATTTGCGCGCGCGCTGCCTACCCTCCAGGCATCGTTCAAGGAAGTGGCGGAGAGTACCAGCAAGCATGCTCGCTTACAGAGCCTCAAACCGCATACGATCGGCCGCTCTGTCCATCTGCTTCTGAGCTACGCTTGCGGAGACGCGTCAGGCCAGAACATGGTGACTATAGCTACAGATCGGATCTGTGACTGGGTGTCGAAGAACCTAGAAAAGGAATATAAGGTTGTGGACACATTTGTAGAAGGCATGCTATCCTCGGACAAGAAGCCATCGTGGAGGAATGTGACCGTTGTCCGGGGTGTCGAGACCGTGGCCTGGACAGCTCTATCCGACTCCGCATGTCAGCGAGTCTTAGGCTGCTCATCCGCACAGTTGTATAATTTCATTCAGACGACCCAAGAAGCGGGGATTCGGAATGGCCAGCATGGCAGCAATATGGACTCCGCCAATATATTGGCAGCCATTTTCATTGCCACGGGTCAAGATCCGGCGTGCGTCGCGGATGCTTCGTGGGCACATCTGACGCCGGAATACGAACAGGCGTCCAAGACAATAACGTTGAGCCTGTATTTCCCCTCCATGCCTGTAGGGGTAATCGGCGGGGGCACGTCATACGCGACACAGCAGGAAGGCTTGCGGATCATGCAGTGCAATGAAGCCGGCGGTAAGCGACGCCTGGCTGGGTACATTGCTGCGTTTGCTCTGGCGCTGGAGATCAGTTCGGCTTCTGCTGTGGTGACGAAGACATTTTCTCGCAGTCACGAGCGGTTAGCACGTCGGGAGGCTAGTGAGAGGCCAAGGTCCAAAATGTGAGACACGTCTTTTAGTAAAAGACCGCGGTGGGGGGGGTGGAGGGAATGGAGGTACGTATAACAGTTCCAGTTTAGTATAGACTAGGCGGAGGAGACAGTAGACCGAAGTAGATAGAAAGTACTACTACCCAGATGAGTGAAGATTGTCCCGGGAGTGCATGTATCTGTACCACTTCGCTATTAGGAGACCGAATTTGATGATATTGAGTGGAGGGAGCTGTATTCCACGCAACTCTATGGACTGGTCAGAGTATATGGCGTAGTAGAAGTTGAGTCACTTCTTTGACCTTCTTTGTTTTCATCCAGACAGTCATGTGATGCCCGTTGTGTGGTCCGTGTGCTGACTCAGCTAATGGCCAATCAAAAGCCAGTAAAAGGGCACGGCCGAGCGATGAACGAAGAGTGACCGATCGACGGACCCAGTAAAAAGAAGGGAATCGACATCACTGACTGACTGACTGCATCCGCCGCTGGTCCTCCCAAAGTACTTTACTTCATAAAGCATCGGCTTCCTCTTTCGTGTCCTCCTCTCCTCGCCCCCCTTCTCCTGGTTTACACTGCAAACTTTCCTTTGTTCATTTGGCAATACCTGCACGGTCTGCACGGCCGGACAATGCTAACAACATTTTCCAGTCCCTGTTTCAACTGACCCCATTTCATCCGAACCAGAAACTCGCCTCCGCCCTCCCTCCCCGACGCCCCCATTTCCAATGGCAGATCTCTCCACTTCCTCCGGTCGGGATCCCGACTCCGACTCTAGAGAAGCAAACAACGTCCTGTCCCAGCATCTGCACCCTCAGTTCACTGCTTCCCTCCAGGATGAGCTGACTGCACCCCCCGCCGAGCCCCCAGCCGAGCAAAGTAGTGGTGATGCTCCGTCCGAACCCCAATCCTCCCTGAGACTGCAAGGCGGCGACATCCATCGAGACTTGTACCGTCTCGACGCCAAATCCAAGATAGCTCGCCTGGACAAACGGGCGGCCACGTTCTCCTTCCTTCCGAGACGCACGGATGATGTGGTGGAGGAAGGCGTGGCAGCCATGGAGCCGGGGAGCTTCCGCCGTCACTTCGTTCAGAACAAGTACGGTCGGCTCGACCAACCGGGCGTAACCTCGTCCTTTCTCGATTTCCTAGATATCTATGGTAACTTTGCGGGCGAGGATCTGGCCGACACAGAGGAGGAATCAGCCATCGTCGAGGAGGAGGAAGAAGAGGATGAGACGAGGCCGGTGTCCGAACGAACTGCCCTCTTGCGGCGACGGCGGAGCTCACGAGCCAGCCGCCCAGGCGATGCTTCCAACGTCAAGACCTTTTTCACACTCCTGAAGGCATTTGTGGGAACGGGAATTATCTTCTTACCCAAGGCCTTCCGCAACGGCGGAATCCTGTTCTCCTCCATCACCCTTGTAACAGTGTCGTTGATCAGTACCTTGTGTTTCCATCTGTTGCTGGAATGTCGGAGACACTATGGTGGTGGCTATGGCGACATTGGTGAGCGGATCGGTGGCACCCGACTTCGGACGTTGATCCTCGCATCCATCGTAATCTCGCAACTGGGCTTTGTGTGTGCTTGTATCATCTTCACCGCGGAGAACATCCATGCCGTCCTGGAAGCGGTGACAAATGACCCGGGCACAGCTTTGTCAACCGGTAAATTAATCGCCGTCCAACTGCTTGTGCTCATCCCACTGTCCTTGATCCGAAATATCTCCAAGCTGGGCCCCATCGCGTTGCTGGCGGATGTCTTCATCCTCGTAGGCTTGGCGTACATCTACTTCTATGACATTGCCAGTCTCGCGTCCCGTGGTCTGGCGTCGTCGGTTGAACTCTTCAATCGCCAATCGTTCACCCTGACCATCGGATCGTGTATCTTCACCTTCGAAGGAATCGGCCTAATCCTGCCGATCCAGTCTTCCATGAAGCGGCCAGAGCATTTCGACAAACTCCTCTATACTGTCATGATCATCATCACTGTATTGTTCACGGCGGTTGGGGCTCTCTCATATGCCACCTTCGGCGCGGAGACCAAAACGGAGATCATCAGCAACCTGCCCCGCACGGACCGCTTTGTCAATGTGCTCCAGTTCGTCTATTCGCTCGCCATCCTGGTCAGTACGCCGATCCAGCTGTTCCCCGCCGTCCGTATTATCGAGGGCAAGCTCTTCGGCCAGAACTCAGGCAAGCGCGACCCCATGATCAAGTGGAAGAAGAATGTGTTCCGGACCGGTGCCGTGATGATCTGCGGGCTGATTGGAGCTGTGGGGGCCGGGGATCTCGACAAATTTGTCTCGTTGATCGGGTCGTTTGCCTGTGTGCCCCTGGTGTATATCTACCCGGCGTACTTGCACTGGAAGGGCGTAGCCGAGTCCCCATGGGTCAAACGAGGGGATATTGCGATGATGGTCCTGGGAGTAGTGTTCATGGTGTACACAACAAGCGCCACCGTCTCCGTCTGGCTAGAAGGGTCCGCCTAAAGCAACCCATCGACATGAGTATGCGTAGGGATACGGCGTTTTGGTTTCGCATCTCGCATATGTTGGAGAAAAACAGGGGGCCCGGTGCCCTGGCTCAGGTTTGTCAGTCAATCAGCACACGACCGCCATACTCCGGCCTGTTGACTGCTACTAACCACCACGCAGCCAGACTCTTATTTTTCTTTTTGCTCTCAACCGGCCGCCATGGAGCTAACGGTCTGAATTCATACAGCGTTACTGAAGTTTAGCATTTCGCATGTGCAGCAAAACCAAATCGTAAACCCCATCTTGGAGTTTTGGGGAACTGTTTCTCAAGTTATACGCTGTTTTTGCTATTGACACACGAGAGAAGATCCGTCTCTCCTGTCTTGACGATGGTATGAGTGAAATGAAATGAAATCGATATGAATTGGAAAGAAAAAATAATTATCTACCACATGACTATTACCCCACTTGTTCTATTCTTCCCGTAGTGCTAGCTAGCTACCTGAATGCGGGCATCTGACACCTTTCGTACTCCGCAACTGTCGGTCAACTTTGGGCCGGGGCTCGGTGGTTCGGGTTCGCTTTCGGTCCTTGTGAAACGCACCACTTACGACTGGAGTAGCATGTGCATTGCGACCTCGGAGGGACTTTCCCGTATTTGATTGCCGTAGACATTGTCCATGTATGTCGCATCTACCAGAAACTAGCCAGCCAACCGACCTACTGCTAGCATTACAGAAGAAGGGAAATGCCCCATACACACATACAACCTATTACACGGGCAGTATAAATGATAGAGGCCCTCCATTTAAAATGAAACCAACTAATCACTAACTGGTTCCCACTATCCCAATTCGCTGATCCACAGCATCTCTAAGGAAAGCAACTAGAAATCAAAATAGAGGTACAGATAGATAGACAGATACTGTACAGATCAGTACCTCCTCCAACCCCTTTCACTTACTCTGCAATCACACCACATTCCAGTAATCTAAGGACATCCCGAAGAGGGGTAGTTGCAGCTATCATCGCTACCACCGGTGATGTCAACATCAGTGAAGACAAAGTTGGAGCAGCTGCCATCACCGCAGAGGATGTAGTAATCCTTGCCGTCGCTCATGGTACCCTTGACGTTGACGAAAGAGATGTTCTCGATCTTGACGCCGTTGGTCGGGTCACCGGTGGCACCACCGTTCTCGTAGTCCTGCTGGACGTCGATGCCGTAGTCGGTGATACCGGACAGGGTGATGTTCTCGTAGCGGACGTTGTAGACCTGTATAATGATTTTCTCGGTGGTTAGTGTTTACGTTTTGATGAGGGGTGTATTATGGATTGGGGCAGATGACTAACCTCGCCAGTGGTATCAGCGTTGGACTTGATGCGGCAGCCATTCTCGCTGTTAATGACCTGGGAGTTGGAGAAGGTGACGCCGTTGACTGTGTTGTTGCTCTTGCCGCCGATGGAGCCGATGGAGAGACCGTGGCCACCGTAGCAGTAGAGGTTGTCGACGACGATGGAGCTACCGCTAGTGACGGCGACACAGTCGTCCTGGTTGTGCACCCAGGTGTTGGACAGGGTCAGGAAGTCGCTCTGCTTGATGTCGAAGCCGTCGGTGTTGTGGGCGGCCGGGTCGCCGTCACTCTTGCTGTTGGCGGCATCACCGGCGGTGTTGTTGAGGATTAGGCCGGTGATGGTGAGGTACTCGGTGTCTTCGATCTCGAAGCAGTGGACGGGGTAGTTCAGGATGTTGAGGTTCTCGATCTTGGAGTTGTACATGTCCTTGACAACGATGAAGTGGTCAGGCCTGGCAGGAAAGGTTAGTGAAGCCGTTCCTGAATAGGGGGTGCTGGTAGGAGCTCACTTGTCCTGTCCGCCGTTGGATCCCTCGCCGTCCCAGTAGGCTTCACCGTTACCGTTGATGACATGTCCCTCCTCACCGGTGATGGTCACGTCGGTACCGGAGATGACAATGGGGTCGAAGTCGCTGTCGTAGGTGTCGCCGAAGGTCTATCGGTTCCGTTAGTGTATGGTGGTTGGCCCTGACATAGGGGAGGTGGCTTACGGTTTCACCAGCGAAGATGACAGCCGCGCCAGTCTGCAGGCCCGAGAGATCAATTGTGCTCGATGCAGGGGCGTTGATGTTGGACAGGAGGATGTTGGAGCAGGATGCGACGGCGGAGGAGATTGAGGCGTACTCAGTCACCGTGCAAGTGGTGCCGCCATTGCCTGCCACGGAGCTCTGCACCGGGACGACAGCCTGGGTAGTTACAGCCGCCGCTGCTGGGGTGGACACGGGCACACGAATTGGAGTGGTGTGGAAAGTAGTAGGGATCGCCGAGGTGCGGGTGGCTGCAACAGCAGGTGCCTTGCCCTACATTGGTTCAGTAAAAGAATCGTAATGAGGCATCTGGTTGGTGCTCACCACTTTGCTGCTGCCGGAGACTGCCGGGGCACCCGGGGTGGAAGCGGGAGCTGATCCGTCAGAGGTGCCCAAGCAGCTGCAGGCACTGGAGAGATGCTTGGTCTTGTAGTCGCAGTTGGAGAGGAAGACATCCGGCACACCAGTCGTGGCAGTCACGGTGCTCGCCGTGAAGGTGGCACAGAAGGTAGCGGCCGCCGCAGAAGAGACGGAGAAGGCAGAGGCACAGGAGTGAGTCTCAGGGTTGTCGCACCCCAGGGCGAGAGGAAGAAAAGAGGCAAGGAGCGCGCTGCGCTTCATTATGATGAAAAGAATGAAAGACTAAAGAGTGTTTAGATACTAGAAAAAAAAAAACAAAGTGAAAGGAAGGACAATGAGGGCGTTGAATTCCAGATTTCAACCATGGACAACGCTGAACACCCAACGTTCTTATATGATAGATTGATAGCATCGGATCAATAGAGCCGAGAACCACAGTACCGTTGGTCTAGCTGGAAGTCAAGAATCAATAAGCTAAGCTCAGCCACCTCCTCCGGAGCTTAGCATGGATGCATCGTGAACCGACCCATCTTCAACTCGGGTGGAGACACTTAATAAGAACGTTCGGTCGGCCCCGCATAGCGTCCAGCCAGGGGGTCTGACTCGCTGGTATGATTGGCACCGTCGGCAGTTAGCATTCTAGAGCCGAGCTCGAGACGGGGAGTTGCTCTGCTAGTGGTTTGATGAAGGGTTTCCTGTTGCCCCTGGAGCGTGTTTCACGATTGCAGCCATCACTTATCTGAGACCCGGACACGTCATGGCGCGAGTCATGACCATCCAAATACCGTGAGAACTGATCGAATAAATCATCCACCACTGCGAAGAAAACCTGATACATACATAATTTATGAGCTCGGCTAATTCGGGCCTCTCGGTCTGTTGACACTGACTGCAGCTTTAATCTCGACTTCCGAACGCTGATTCGATAGTATACGCGATTCCCCTGAGTTAGAGACCCTATGCCTGGCCAGTCTGCCATAAGCCCTTAATATGAGACCCTTGGATGGTCAGATTTCTCACAGGCTCACAGCATCTTTAGAGGGTCCGTGGTGGGTCTTCGGCGTTAAACTGATGATAAATTAAGCACCCAGACCCAGCTAGGAAAGGGTCACCGAGTAATCCAAGAACTGTCCCCAGCACCGCCGTTGACTTCTTCCTGCCGTGGATTGCTGTAGTGCCGTTGATTCCGGATGATTTTGAACCATATATATTATCCATATCGTCAAGGACTCTAGGATCCGTGCGCGGATCTCTCTTTATCCGCCCATTCGCAGAGGTCACAGGCAGGCATCCTGCTCGATCCCACTGGCCCATTTAAATTTTCTACAACTCCATGCGGATATCTTAGTAACTTATGAGCAGTCAGTATTCTTCAAAGCGCCCACATGCAGTCACAATTTGCAACACATCTGGGGCCTCGGGTTTACAGTATCCAAGAGGAATTTACCCTAGTCGCCGACGCGCAGGAGGGTCCTAGTGGTGGACCAGGAGACAAAACAAGGTTAACCGCGGAATGTCGCAGCCGCTGTGTGTCAGAGAGATGGGATCGACTGAAAATCCTCCGTAGAAGCCATGATCACTGGGGCAATAGAATCAGAAAGAATGGGACGGGTCACTATTCCATCCATATCAACGTGTCATACGACTGCCGCCATCCAGTCCCCTCCCAATTTTCGTTTCTCGTTTCTCATTTCATGCTTCCATAGCTTCCTGAAACAGCTGTATGGGATCTTCTGCAGAATTTACCCGAGACTGCTGCTGCTGCTGCTGCTGCTGCTGCCAAATAAAGGCATTGAGAATGACAATCGAAATATCGAATATCCAGAGTTTCGAGAAACCGATGCATCTAGGAGTTGTGACTCTGAACACCTCTAAGGAGTTAAGAGGCGAAGCACCACAACACCCACACACACCAGCATCAAAGGCTGGCATAAATGTTGACGACTGACTCTCACTGGGGCATTCTTGATGACAGAGCTACCTGTGAGTACAACAAACAGTACCTCCCAGTAATGCAGTATGGTCCAGAACCAACACTATTCGACAAGACTGCTTTGATATCATTGAGAGGCTTGAGAAGCTTCAACGTACAAGGTATGCCCTGAAACACCTCGTTGCTTTGCTAGATGTTTTACCCCTTCTATGGACGCTGAAAACTACCTATCAACCACATCAGCGACCTAGAGAATCTACACTCCAAAAATACGGACAATCGAGAAGATACAACAAAACCCGTTGAATCAAATGCTTCGCTGCACCTGAGGTTAAGTCACAGTATGCAGCTGCCCAACCAGCCCTATAGATACCTTTGGGCTACTTAGGATTCGAGGTATCTGGTTGAAGAGGACTCCGGAGCTCGAAAATCTGGTGGATCAGGAATCCAGACGCTGGCTGTTCTCAGAGCGACTACAAGTCCAGGCGTTCCTTAACGTACGCTTCGGTGCTGATATGGTCAGATGTACCTCCCACTGATGTGAAACGACAGGGAAGCCATGTCTGGCATCTCAATGAGTGGGCCTATCATGGCACTGGTCCGTGCATTCGGATTCTTTGCCTGATCTGCTCGTATAGAACCAAGACTATAATAAGCAGCAGACTGAAGTAAGCGGCTAAACTCCACACACTAAACCGAACATGGTTCAGCGTACGAAATACGAGAGGCATAGTCCCAACCATGTCAACAACGGCCATCGAAGAATTCTTTCTATGCATAGAAAGTTTCAGGAGTCGCAGTCACTTAAGAATCGAAATGGCCCAGTTTAATCCCAATCCCCGACTTCCTTCACGACCTCTCAATTACAACCGGGCATCACCTACTTGTCATCATGGCCACCGGTTGGACGGCATACGCCTACTATCCCTCCGTGGGAGGCGCCGTGGTCATGATCATGCTCTTCCTGATCGGCGTCATTATTTTCACATACCAGCTTATTCGAACGCGAGCATGGCTGACCATTGCAGCCTTGATAGGTGGAATGTGTATGTGCAATGCCAAAACCTGCACCAGACCTCTTCAGCTAACATTGGGATTGAATTGCAGTTGAAACAGTCGGTTATATCGGTCGCGCCATGTCCGGAAACCAATCTCCTAACTGGACGCTGGGCCCCTATATCATTCAGAGCACCCTTCTCCTCATCGCCCCGGCATTGTTTGCTGCAACCATCTATATGATCCTCGGCCGGATTATCGCCCTCGTGCATGGAGAACACCACTCGATCATCCGACTCAAATGGCTGACGAAGATCTTCGTGGTTGGGGATTGTTTGTCTTTCCTCATGCAGTCGTCCGGTCCGTCAACTCCCTGCAATCATCCGCCAATGTACTATACTGATATTTACAGGCGCCGGAATCATGGTCCAATCCAAATCCGCGACTGATAATACAGGCGAGAATGTCATCATCGGCGGACTTCTCGTACAGATCATCTTCTTCTGCTTCTTCCTTGTGGTCGCCATCATCTTTCAACGTCGCATCTACCGACACCCTACTGTGCGCTCCGAATCGCCTATGATCCCATGGCGAAAACACTTCTTCTCGCTGTACGCATCAAGCTTCTTGATTCTTATTCGCTCCATTGTGCGGTTTATCGAGTATATCCAGGGACAGGAGGGATACGTGATCACCCACGAAGCTTTCATCTATGTCTTTGATGCGGTTCCCATGTTCCTGGTACTGTGTATCTTGATCCGATTCCACCCGAGTGAGATTAACGGGCTGCTGGGAAAGTCGAGGGTAGCAGCAGTGGGCTACGGGCTCCGGTTTGTTGATGTGTCTCCTGCAATGTAATGTATGAAAATATGGTGCAAGCTTGGGATACATTCCAAGTGTATTATAGACAGATAGACGGATACATAGAGTCATAAATCAACTTCCTAAACTTTCTTCTCCGCGCAAATGGTCAATACAAGCATAAACTAAAGGAGATGAAATTCATTTCTCGAATTTAAGAAGAAATATATATATTGTATACTCCCGACAACCTCGAATTCTAACTACTTATCTATATTTAAACCCTAAAATAGTATCTGGCAAGCAATCAGCTATCTTATAGCGCAAGAAGTAGTTCGTAAGCGTAGCGAATCATACAACACAACCTAAATCTCAGACAAGCATAAGAACCACCCCAAACCGGCAACGGATACGAAAACGAACACCACCTACAAACAAAACTTACTATCAACATTCAGCTACAACTACAGCATAGATAAACTACTCGTAAACAACACAAATCACTCAGCATTAATAAACCAAAAACCCCAAATACCAACATACATCCTCCATCCTTCTCAACTACTCCACCCAGCAATGAAAGCGAAAAATGGCCTCCGAATACCGCCTCTACGAATACACACCCTCCACCACCGCCGCCATTACAGCAACCGCCTGCTTTGGCCTCATTACAATATGCCATCTAATCCACTACTTCGCGCAGCGAACATGGTTCTTTACTCCGTTTATAATAGGGGGTATATGTATGTTATCTTTCCTCACGTCTCATTCAGCATAATCACAAGCAGTAACAGCCCACTCACTAAATACTAATAAATATATAGTCGAAACAACCGGCTACATAGCACGCATAATCAACAGCCAACAAGTCCCCCTACAATGGAGTACAGCACCATACATTATGCAAGAGCTGCTCCTCCTCCTGGCCCCGTCTCTCTTCGCAGCGTCTATATATATGGTTCTATCCCGAATTATCCGCGTATCAAAGGGGGAGGAACGCTCACCCGTACCAGCTCGTTGGATAACGAGGATTTTTGTTGTAGGGGACGTGGTTGCGATTTTGGGGCAGGCGACTGGTGAGGTCTTCCCTTGCTCTCCCCTTCAAATTCATTTTGTTGTTGAACAGCGAACGTTTGTTCTTATTTGTCCATGAGAAGTACTAATCCTAGGCAAATAAAACCCCAGGTGGAGGACTCCTCTCCCAAACATCATTCTCAACGACCTCCTCGAAATCAAACACATCCCGCCAGAAACTCGGTAACTGGATAATCATCGGTGGATTAATAGCACAAGTCATCTTCTTTGGGCTATTCATCCTCGCTTCGGGGGTGTTTGATGCGCGGATGAGCAAACGTCCATACCCGCCGCAGCGGACGCGCAGTAGACACCGTCATCATCAACCTCGTCGTCGTCGTCGCCGCCTTCCTCCCTGGCGCCAGTTGCTTAGGGTACTGTATATTGTGGATATTTTGGTTATAGCGCGCTGTGTGTTCAGGATTGTGGAGTTCGCCCAGGGAAGGACGGGAGTGTTGCAGAGGAAGGAAGTGTGGATGTATGTGTTTGATGGGTTGTTGATGGTTTTGGTAATGGTTGTGTTGTTGATTTGGCATCCTAGTAGGCTTGGGAATTATCATGGGAAGGAGGAAGGGGGAGGAGATAATGTGGAAGGGGGGAAGAAGCGGAGAAGGAGGAAGCAGAGGAGGAGGGGGTCGAGTCATCGGAGGACTAGGGAGTGGTTTGAAGGTGGGGGTGTCATTTGAAGGCTGATCCTTTGTGGTTGTCGCTGTGGTCCCTGGTCATCGTGAATATATAAACTGTAGGTGCAGGTCGGTATGGAGAATTAGTGCTTTAATAACATCAGTCGGAAAGTTAGAAATGCATGGTCTATGTGAAGAAAACGGATGTATGATCAAATTTCAGACGCTAAATATTTTAAAGTCTGATATATAATAATTATGTTTTTACCAGTGACAGTCACGCTGCACGACTATAAACGACCCTGCCGCGTGGTCCTGATTCCCTGCTGCCACATTTCCCAATACGCTGGGACATGAAGAATCGCCTCGGCTAGCTTGCGAAGCCCTGTAATCCCCCGCTCCGCATGTTCAGGTGCAACTTGCTCACCAGGAACGTTCAGCGAATTGTTAAATACCTCCAGGGACATTGGTCCCTTGTATCCAGTCGCCACCACCGCGGCTGCAACCAGATGAACTGGCATATACGCCCCGCGCTCTGATTCAAACGGGAACAACCGATGCCCGCGTGACCACGGTAGCAGAGCAGGTATCTTGGGGTCTGTCGGCGGAAGGAATTTCTTAGGATCCATTCGCTCCGCGTCACCCACCTGGAAGAAGAAGATGCGGTCTCCAGGCACGGAAGCTACCAGGGACGATAAAGATGCACACAGCACATCGGTGGACTCCTCCACAGTCGGGTAGATGCGGCCATGGCCTGCGGGATTGTACGGATCTGCATATTCCACACCCAGCACGTTGTATGCATCAATTATAAGACCCACGTTGGGGCGATTAGCCATTCTCACAACTTCCCAGGTGGATGCCCAGGTATTTCGCACCGCCCAGGAGAGACCCTCGTAGCCGACGCGCAGCAGAGGACCGCCATCTGCATCGGAGTATGCCTTGGCCATATCGCCTAGTTCTGCGAGATCGCGCGCGACTGTTTTCAGGTCGGAGGTGACGCCAGTATCGGTACGAATATTCGCACACATGAACACAAGGTCGGTGTCAAAGGCACGCATGAACGGGAAGCGCTTCGCAACAAGGTCCAGCGTGGCTCGTCGCTCCGCTGGATCCTTGATACCCTCAATGCAGCGTAGAGGCTGGGTGCATGCGATACGCATACCTAGTGACTTGACTATATCGCCGAGCTTACGGGCAATCCGCAAGTTGTCAGGGGTCGCTTCCCAGAGCTTGTCACCAGGAAGTCCATGTTCCTCGAGGTAGGCTGCCCAGCACTCGTCGAAGAGGTCGATCCAACGGTAACCCGCTTTCGCTGCGGCTTCGAGGCGGGGTTGAAGTTTATGGTGAATGGCATTGCCGAGAGAGAGAGTGGCAATGCCAAATTCGTTTGGGATGGATGTAGGTGGCCAGGAGATAGGCATGATGGTTGTATAGGATCATGGAGAGGTGTGCTTGCAAGGGAGAGGGGTGGGATACCTGGGTAGTGAAGAGAAAAAGCATCGAGTCATCCTTGGTCCGGATAATCTTTCTGCTCTGAATTGCGGGGAGAAGGCTTTCCCGTCTGGGGTGGCTAACCCCTATCCCCACAAAGATCATCCAGGGAGTCTGGGGATATATGCTGGGGGTAGGAGACTTAGCTTCTCCAAACTCCTGGGCCATATCTATAACTTGTGGAAGGTACCTCTGACGTCAGCGATACACCAATCCATGGGTAGTTTGAAATATGCCTTCATCGCCGCCGCGAGGGGCTGGTGTGCTTTCAAGTTGTTCAGGTTGCACACTTGCGATGCTTGAGATAAATGAACACAAAAATTTATCCATCTATGGAAGGCATGAGTTAGCAACATGGCATGGCTTTCTCTGGCTGGTTACGGATGAAGTCGTTTTGTGATGTTGACAGGGGCTGTCGGCATCTTCCGCTGTCTTCGAGGTGGGAGTAAACTTTATCCCCCAGTGAACCGCATTTGCGCCCAGTCATAAACCCTAGAGCCATTCTATTATGTTAACTACTTTGTCCATTTAGTACCTTTGAATACCGTACGCTAACTATCGATCATTCCCTGCCCGATCATATAAGCTCGCGCCTTGCCACTAGCAGCCTGGCGTCGGACAAGGTAGACGCATCGGTCCTAGGTTGTACCATTCAAACCCCGGCCCGGAGATGAATGGGTTGTCAATGTTGAATTAATTGACCACCGAGTAAATGGGCCTGCGTCCCCATTTTGCGAGAACCGGCCGCTAAGACCTGCTCAACGAGCATCGGAGTCGGAAGAACCGGCACCGTAGGAAATCAATGCGACCGATGCAAAGACACGTCAGATCTGCATGGCGGATTGAGATTTCCCCGCCACTCTGGAGCGAGCAATCCCGGTGGGGTGCCATGATTGAATCCTGGAAAGAATGTACTCTGTAAGGCACTGCTTCGGTCAGCTCCGTGCGGCGTGTAGATCGCCATTTGCCAATAGTCTGCATGGGTCCCAACAGCCAGGTAGTTCGGCGATGAAGACGGGCGATGAAGACGGGCGATGAAGACGGGCGATGACAATGATGAATCTGCTTGGCGACATTGACAGTAAACAGGGGAATCGAATAGCGCAGTGCTTTCCCTTCCCAGTGGGAAACAGACCCTGGATCGATCACCGCGAAGAGGGTCAACAACAATGTGGACCTCTTGTCATTCTTCCCGACTTCCCCTCCCCGTCATGATCCCTTGTTGGTTCATAACCCTTCCTTAACCCAACAGGACCAGCACGAGTGTAGAAAACATGGTGTGATAAACCCAGCCAAATCATCCTCTGTCATGCCCCCTCCCTGTTCAATGATGGTCACATTGGCCATCCTAGACAACATTGGGCTCTCTCCCCTCCGCCGGAAGGGTCGCCAGACCAAGTGGATCGCCGTCCACTAGTGAGCCTGTTTTCCCGTTCTCGACTTCTCTCCGCATCTCGATCTCCACAGCCCATTCCATCATCCCCGGTTAGCATCTCCCACCGTTGGAACACTACTGCACCCCCTCATACGACTGATTCCTTTCAAATAATGGCATGCTCAGCTGCGTAGAATGCAATTAGCCTAATCGGCTAAATCTCGGAGCGATGCCTATTTAAATCGTCATCGAAGACATCTCAAGAGCGAAGAGCACTTGCCCCTGCATTGACGGAACGCGGGCGTCAATTCCTTCGGCCGTATCATGAATTCGACATAGAAGGCCCGAATCATGTATTTTTCTTCCCTTTTGGCCATAGGGGCCCTGGTTCAGGCAGCAGCAGCAACCTATCTCGCCCCCAACTCTACCGGTCTCCGTATCCAGCATGGCTTCGAGACCATCCTCATCCAGCCGTTTGGGTACGACGGATTCCGCGTGCGCGCATGGCCCTTCCGTCCGCCTTCGGGCAACGAGATTAGCTTCATCTATGATCCCCCGATTGAAGGTTATGAGGACACCGCACATGGCATGAGCTATGACACCGCAACAACCGGCACGGAGCCTCGCACCTTGCGCAACGGCAATATCATCCTGCGCACCACTGGCTGGGGTGGCACCACGGCCGGATACCGCCTGTCCTTCTACCGCGTCAATGATGATGGGAGTGAGACCCTGCTCACAAACGAATATGCTCCGCTGAAGTCTCTCAACCCCAGGTACTATTACTGGCCGGGACCTGGGGCCGAATTCTCTGCCGAGTTCTCCTTCAGTGCGACTCCGGATGAGCAGATTTATGGCACGGGCACGCAACAAGATCATATGATCAACAAGAAGGGTTCCGTTATCGACTTGGTCAACTTCAACACCCACATCCCTACTCCAGTCTTCATGAGCAACAAAGGCTATGCCTTTATCTGGAACATGCCGGCCGAGGGGCGTATGGAGTTTGGCAGCCTGCGCACCAGATTCACCGCGGCGTCTACGACGCTTGTCGACTATGTAATCGTCGCCGCACAGCCAGGTGATTACGACACCCTCCAGCAGCGGATTTCGGCCTTGACAGGACGGGCACCGACCCCGCCCGACTTTTCCCTCGGGTACATCCAGTCCAAGCTACGATATGAGAACCAAACGGAGGTGGAGCTGCTGGCTCAGAACTTCCATGATAGAGACATCCCAGTGTCCATGATCGTTATTGACTACCAGTCGTGGGCTCATCAGGGTGACTGGGCGCTCGATCCGCGCCTGTGGCCCAATGTCGCGCAGATGTCGGCGACAGTCAAGAATCTGACCGGAGCCGGAATGATGGCGTCTCTATGGCCCAGTGTTGCCGATGACAGTGTCAACTACGCAGCCCTGCAGGCGAACGGTCTGCTCTCAGCCACCCGCGACGGCCCTGGTACCACTGACTCCTGGAACGGATCATACATCCGGAACTATGACTCCACCAACCCCTCGGCGCGGAAATTCCTCTGGAGCATGCTGAAGAAAAACTACTACGACAAGGGTATTAAGAACTTTTGGATTGATCAGGCCGATGGCGGAGCATTGGGCGAGGCTTATGAGAACAACGGCCAGAGCACATACATTCAGTCCATTCCGTATACCCTGCCGAACGTGAACTACGCCGCTGGCACGCAGCTCGGCGTGGGTAAGTTGTACCCCTGGGCGCATCAGCAGGCAATCGAAGAAGGCTTCCGCAATGCGACAGACACCAAGGAAGGAAGCGCTTGCGATCACGTCTCCCTGAGTCGGTCCGGATACATCGGATCCCAGCGGTTCTGCAGCATGATCTGGTCTGGAGACACCACCTCTGTTTGGGACACACTGGCAGTGCAGGTCGCCAGTGGTCTGTCCGCCGCAGCAACAGGCTGGGGTTGGTGGACCGTCGATGCTGGCGGCTTCGAAGTCGACTCGACAGTTTGGTGGAGTGGAAACATTGACACGCCCGAATTCCGGGAATTGTATGTGCGCTGGCTGGCCTGGACAACCTTCCTGCCATTCATGCGCACTCATGGTAGTCGGGCCTGCTACTACCAGGATGCCTACACCTGTGCCAATGAGCCATGGTCCTATGGTGCAAGCAACACCCCCATTATTGTCTCGTATATCCACCTGCGTTACCAATTGGGTGCTTATCTGAAATCGATCTTCAACCAGTTCCACCTCACGGGTCGCAGTATCATGCGCCCGTTGTACATGGACTTCGAGAAGACCGACCCGAAGATCTCTCAGCTGGTGTCGTCGAACAGCAACTACACAACTCAACAGTACATGTTTGGTCCACGTCTCCTAGTCTCTCCCGTGACCTTGCCGAACGTCACTGAGTGGCCTGTATATCTTCCGCAGACGGGAGATAATAGCACTAAGCCTTGGACGTACTGGTGGACGAATGAGACGTATGCGGGAGGACAGGTCGTCAAGGTTCCTGCGCCCGTGCAGCATATCCCGGTATTCCATCTGGGATCGCGCGAGGAGCTTCTGTCGGGTGATGTATTCTAGAGTCACTGATGTGAGATCGATGGCGTGATAGAAAGTCAATGAGAGCGGTTAGGACATTCTGAATAGAATTCAGATTTCTCGATTGCAACAGTGTCAAGGTACTTAATCAGGAGACACGGTTTGAAAAGGTCCAAGATAAGCAGAAGAATGTAGCAGAAAATGAAAGATAGGAGGAGGCATCGTCGGCGCTGTCAGGTGAGTGGCACGTGTCACTTTTTCGGAGTTCACGAGGCCCATATGTGTGTGTATTCTGTCTCAAATGCTCGTCCACCCCAGTCAATCGCAGAATCTGCAGATCCTACTGTATTTGAGAGAATATGCTAAATCCGAACTACGTTGAACGTTCCGAACAAGGCTATATTTATATGATAATGAATACATAGTGTGGATGTGAGATATGTTAACACACATAGTTGTTACCAAATGATCAGACTGGTTAACCCCAAGACAAGCAAACACGATCATTCCCCTCCTACCAGCGGCTCCTGCTCCACCGACTCAGACGACACCGACTCATCCCAATCACACCGACAATGCTGAGCACGATAGCGGAGAATAGCAACGAGACTATTAGCCGTGGTAAGAGCCTGCAGCACCGCGGCTGTCCAGACCATCCCCATAAACGACGTCCCCGTCGTCGCTGAGACCCCATATCCACTGCCGGATTTGTTAATCAACTTTACAAACTCGGTTGTGATGACGCTAGCAATAATGGAAGCGATTGCGAAGGTGAGAAGGCTTGCCTGCAAAGTAGACATGACATTAGCAATTCAAGATGATATAAGGGGCTATACCTCAGAACTAACCAGATAGGCAAGAAATTCTATGTTAGATGGCGGAATATCAAGATCGAAGCTAGATGCCGGCCTCCCAGGGTACATGGGCGGCCTGCTATTTTCCGATGCCCGTGCACACACGACCGTCCAGATGCGGATTCCGATGGATATAGCGGATGCGGTAGTTCCAAGGACCATGAGCAAGACCATGGCGGTGTTGGTCGGAGCTAACGCCTCGAAATCGGCTGTTATCCAGGACGGCCAGCTGTCCGGGGAGAGACTGCCTGATGGGGTGCCCATGGCTTTTATTATGGCCTCACCGGGGTTGAAGGTGAACAACACAGTGCGGTCGGAACAGTCGACGATCTCTTTTTTGGTTGATGTGGCATTGGTGGTCTCGTCTGATATGTATGTTTCTTGGTACCCGGTGCAGTAGGACATGGTGTAGATGGAGAAGTAATCGGGAGCACCTTGTCCGCCGGCTCCTCCTGTGTGTAACTTGAAAGAAGGCATCAGTGGTGTATGGTGGAATAGGTAATACTTTTTACTTACGGTTAAAAGGTCTGCCTGCGGTAGAAACTGGCGTTGACTGCCAGCAAAGAGAGAGAGAATGCCTAGCAAGAAGGCAACGCAGGAGCCGATGCCAGGCAGGAAGATCTGGAGGCAGCCCATGGTAGTTTCGTGTCCGGTTGGCTCTCTCTTAGGCTAGTATACTAGTGACTATAAGGGTGAATATGATCGCAGAACTCCCTCTGCTGGATCAATAAAGCATTGACAAGTCTTTTCATGAGGCGAGAAACACGAGGTAAAGCACGAGTCATGCTTCAGAGTAAGGTGACACTGCAGGAAAAGAAGATCTTATACACCGTAGATAGCTGGCGTGTAGTCTCGCCTACTATACTATAGACTATTATCCACTGCCGTCTTTGGCTCCCAGCCACCGAATTCTGGGAATGTTTAGCCATGCCTCTACCCTTGTTTCAGAGGACGAAGGCGCATCATCAATGAGCTAAAACCTTGGTAAGTGCAGCCGTATACGGGTAGGCGCTGCGTAGAGTCTTCATTAAAGGGAGTGAAAGGTCTCCGGATCCATACCCAGCCACGCAATTTGTAACCTGCGTGATGGGATTGATTTATCAGAAAGCGCACATTGCGTATGATCTTGCCGCTGGTGCTGAATAGAGAGGTGATCAGCACTGGCTATATTTCGATTTACCCAAGTCCCGATCTAATGGTACATTAGTATTCCTTTTTTCAGTGAATGGGTCACGACCGTTAAAGAGAGTAGAAGGTTACTCCCGAAGCCAGCCGAGAAGCATGGAAAGCTTATCCTGGGGTAATTACCCGGGAGCTACATTCCTTGCACCACTGTGTGGTATGCGAGAAGCACCCAAGTGCCTGGAAACTTCATATAATTTCACGTTACACAGAAATTCTCCAGATGGAGCCCAAGTATGTTGTTACAGAGTGAGAAACAGGTTTCGACGATTCATGACGTTGTTTGTGTGGTCGGTTTAAACTTCCGAGTTGATAATGTTTCAGAGGTGGATGCCAGCAAAGCTGGTGACATAGTTCTAGATAGACCGTACTTGGGGATCATGCTATTCGCTCAGTCGAGGCCATTTCTGAGACCGTCTAACAGCCGTTTCTGGATTATGAGCGCATAGATGGCTTTGATGGTCAATGAAAGATTGGAGCGTTAGCCCCTAGGTCTTACATTCTTTGATTTCTGTAAAACAGGTGTTCAGAGTTCGGATGTGATTATAAATATGTGGTCTAGTCTATTTGTGTCTATCTAAAGTATTATATCTACAGCAAAGCCCAGGATTAAAGCTGTTTACCTACGCCTTTTTAAGATCGTCTTCGACGGGCGGCATCAAATCCATCACAGGGGCCAGTTTACTCTTCTGCCGAAGACGGCCACCGAAGAGGTAGAACATTAACGGGATGGGAATCATCACCACGGCAATGCAACCAAGCAGTGTGCCGGCCCATTGAATGCCCAGGTTGTTGAACATTTGTCGCGTGAAGAGAGGAAAGACGGCGCCCACCATGGATCGCATCATGGTATTGGCCGCAAACGCAGATGCCGCACTGCTTCATTAGCATGTAATCTAAGGGTCGTTAGATAGGGGGGTTTAATGATGTACTCACAATTTGGAGTATGTGTCCAGAATATAGTTGAAGCACTGCATGAAGATGGAAGTCAAGCCAAAGCCGACAGCCACACCAGCAGCCGTGGGTGCCATCCAATGAATGTTACTGTTCCATCCAGTCCAACCGAACCTGTATCGCTTATCAGTATTTCCACCGAGTCCGACGTCTTATATCGCGCGGGGACAATCATACCAGAACAGCCCACCAGCAAACACAGCACCACCAACAATGCAAGGAGGCAGACGCCATTCGGGTACCGCGACGTAATTGTTAGCGGCCAACTTCCGCGAATATTGTCCTGACAAAGACAGAACAAATGTGCTGCCCGCAATCTCACCGATGATGAGCCCAATGAAGGGCAACCCTGCAGTACCACCGGTCATGCCATAAGTACCTTCGAAGATGATAGGATAAGCTTCTAGCAGCGCATAGGCCAATCCGTAGATGAAGGACATGTAGAGCGTGAGCAGAAACGCAATGGGTTCAGTGAACAGAATGAGGAACGGACGCGCCAGGTTCTTGGTAACCAATTCTTTGAAATCAATCTCCAGTTCGTCCTGGCGAGCGTGAATGCCCCAGTTCCGTGTCTGGCGTCGGAGAATGGCTGCCTTTTGAACCAGGATGATTGGGGCATAGGTCTCTGTAGTGAAGAACACTATCAATGCGAGACAGAAGAACCCAACTATGGCAGGGACGTACAGCGTCCATCGCCAGCCAAGATAGCTAGACGCGGTGTATCCACCGATGAACGGGGCTGTGAAAGGACCGGTGAAAACCGACATAGTGTACATGGCAATAGCGACACCACGTTGGTGGTTGTTGAACACGTCAGACAGGCTAGCAGGCACCAGAGCAATGATACTAGCCGCACAAAAACCCGCAAAGAAACGGCACAGCATCAGGGTTTGGGTATCCTTGGCGGTGGCAGTGGCTATCATGAAGAGGTCGAAGCCGAACATCCCAAGCAACAGCGGCCATCGCCGGCCAAGCAACTCGGAACTAGGCGCCCACACTGTCGGGCCGGCCGAAAACCCTAGAACATACAAAGTTGTTCCCAGAGCCGCAACTTCTTCACCAAAGCCGAACTCTTTCTGGGCACCTGAAGCCGCGGTTGCAAACACCGCACTGCCGTAAGCGGTCACTAGGGCACAGGAGGTGAGAAGTGATCCAAGCATGACCCTATATGGCATCAGCAACCGTCAAGCTAGATACAAGTCCGGCAGGTGAGCTGTGTTGCATTACCTCTTCTTCATGGGCCAGTTGTGGGGATGCATCGGATCATCCGCGCCTTCGAACTCGACCACATATGCCTCAGAGTCCGGTAGAGGCGGGGGATACGGCTTGCCTGCCCCAATAGGCAACCATTGGTCTTGCGGTATGCGACTTCCTCGAGATCCAACAGTCAGTTGTTGTTGGAGACGATAGGTGTTGATTCGCTCGAGCTCGATGCTGTCATCGCCGGGTGGTCCGCCCCGCGAGTAGCGGCGACGGGATAGGGAGATACCGTCCGCTATGGACGAGTCGTCGTCTCCGGCTCGGTCTGCATCATGGAGTCGATCCATGATCACAAATCACCTTCTACACTTTTTGGAGGGTGGGCAAACCGAGAGGCTTGAAATAGTCAAAGGAAGGAGGTCAGCTAGCGAACACGGGGTTCATACATGGTACTAATATTAATAAATATGAATTTGGGCTTCGTTGGCCCCAAAAAAGCCCTGCAAATTTTTGCTACTCATTTTTCATTCTTTCACCCAGCTTTGGGCGGAAACCAAATGCTCTAGTGGGTCATCAAGGAAGAGCATCGGCCACTCAGCCAGAAGCGTTAGATCCACCGAGTGGGTGGATAGAGGATTCCCTGGGGCTGTCCCGGATAAGACGGAGCAGCCATGGCGCTATGCATATACGAACTGGTATAAGCCTTGATAGCGGACCATCAGATCGGCTAGGTAGCTATCAAACTGTGCGTGCATGGGTCATAGATGGTAGTATTCTGTGCCCGCCCGGGAAGTAAAACCAGGCAACTTAAGATTCGGGCAGTGGCGTAGCCGAGAGAAGTGGTCGGGAAGTCAAACCGGGTCTCCAAGCCATGGATTAGGCTCTCCAGAATTCGGACGGCATACAATATGGCGTTATCGAACATTCTCCATCGTCGGGGACTAGTCCTATTGTACCGACTAGGAGAGCCGGGCCCAGCCCGAGACTTCTCGTCGGGATGGTTTCCGTCGCAGAAAAAAGACATCGGTGTGGCGGTAGGTATGAAAGACCAAGCCCAACCCATGCTTGCATTCTCGATAACTGTCTAGCAGTTACCTGTTACATCTGGATCATTGTCAGTAAAGAGACCATCTGATGCCCACGTCAGACGGACAAATGGAATGTTGGGGGAAAAGTGCGACACGATTGATTGTTGTTGCGATGCCGGCCGGCAAAACATAAAAGGGGGAAGTGCGGAACGAGTTCCGCTTCCGACCGGCAATCGGCATCGTACTGATTGTTCAAGTTGGAATATAATTGCGTGGAGAGCAACAGGACATCTTTTCTTGCCCACTGCCTCTCAAGTAGGCCACATTGCTGGTGGAACATGAAGTCCCATGTTGCGCACTCCTTGAAAAAATGCAATGAAATCACAAGCCCTCGTTGATTTGCAGGAGTTTCGATCATTGATTAACTTAGTTAATGACTAACAACAATTAACTACTAACTAGTAGTTAACTTGGTTGACTGGTTGACTCTGATCATGGCATCAGATCAAGAATGATCGAACGTGCGATCTGAAAGATGATGAGGGTGTAGGAACATGTCTGTGCGAATGACATGATCGGGAGATAAAAGACAAGAAAACTATTCTAAGTAAGAGTAGTGAGTGGTCAGTTTTACCCCGCGGGGAATCCCAACCCCTCACCGGCCAGGAAATCAGATTCCGATCCATCCAGACAACAACAACAACAATAACCCGCCGGGTAATGATCCCACGTCTTCTTTATTTTATCTGTTGCTGTTCTCCCCGCATCTTTGGTGGTCCCAAAGAAAGAGACTAGATCATCTACGTGTGCCAATATGATTACTGGTCTCCATCACGTTAACATCCTCGTCCCGGAAGGCACCCTCGACCGGGCGGAGGAATTCTACACAAACACCCTGGGTCTGCCATCAGCTCCGGTTCCCCATCTACAGAAAGGAACCCTTCTATGGTAGGCCAATGAAAGTCTCGCTTTCTAAGATGGGACAGTCGTGGTTAATTTGCCGTAGGTTCAACCTCACGCCGGATGGCAGCCAGCAGATTCATGTAGCCTTTGGCTCCAACAGCGATTTGCATTCCGACCGTCACGCTTGCCTGAAAGTTGGGTCTCCGGACCATCTGTTGACCCTGCAGCAGCGTATCTGGGAACATCATCAGAGAGGGGGCGATGCCGCTCCCTTGCACGCTGATAAGCCGGGGGAGCAAAACTCGGGTATGTTATCCTGCTCGCTCTTCGTTCTCTTCTAGAAAGGGTGTTTCCCTGGCGAATGCGGTTCTATCCTGCTGTACCGTTCGAAATTGGTTTCATCTAATGACCCGCTGACCTTGACTATCTCATTGTAGGTGCCCAGGGCATCGAATATCCGAATCGGTTTTTTGCCAGAGACTTTGCGGGTAACCGGCTGGAATTTACCCTATGACATGAATAACTGAGATGAACCCTTCTGTTTGTTAGCAACACGATAATAAGTGAAAGATGGAGTTTCAATGGGACAATGAGCGTGCATCTCCAGAGTCTTGCAGTTGGCCTCTTCACTGTACGCCCATGTAGACTCCTCGACTCGATACCTGTGTGGGTAGCCTATTGTCGGCTATCAGAGATCCGATGAACGAATGCGAGACGAACTTTGGCATAAGCGATATATCGATTTGCCTCCCAGTCAAGGCAAGGTCATGGCGGTGATACATCGAAGATATGTAGCACATCACGACACGATGGTTGTAATATTGTCCCGCGCCTGGTGAAGGACACACCCATTTGTCTCTCTCGTAAGGGATGATGAATCGAGCTTAATGAAAGGCTGATCTGAAGGATTGGAGAATTGAGATCAATCCGGAAATCTTTCTGGTGAACTAGTACACCGCACGGGGGTCGACCAGAGTTGCTTTATATGTTAGTGTTAGCAGGTTTTCCCCGGAAGAAGATTTATTAATGTTAGTTGTAGCGGAGTACGTAGTACTATGATTCGATTTTCCGGCGTTGACGCCGCCCCTCGAGGGATCTGCAGTACTTAGCAAGACTTGATAGGTGCAACGGAATAATTGTTTGCTGACAGCCCAGCGTGCTCCCTGTCACTGTCACTGCCGACGGTGGAGTCTCGCTAAGGGTAAAGCGGGTACCCGTACGTGAGCAACATCCTTGCGCTATTGCGCCATGGCCGCTACACACTACAAGCCGATCCCCACAAAGAGGGTCCGTGTGTCGATGCAGTTTATCTATTGCCAGGTACCCAGAGGGGCACAAGCAAAGTTCTTCGAGCTGCCACTTCAGAGACGGCGAAAGAAAAGGCACCCGAAACAGCCATGCGTGCTTCCTCCGAGCGATCCTCCACCGATGCCATGGCCAGAGACGATTCTGGCACCAAACCGCCCACACCGCACGAGGAGCAGCCCTTGCTGCGTCCCGATGTTGAGGCCCTCTGGAAGCCTCCAGTAGGCTTTGTCTGGATTCAACTAGGTTGGTTGTCGCTTGACCCCATGAAATGAGGGGTCTAACACATTGCCAGCAATCATGTCGAATGTATTCCTGTCGGGTTTCGACGGCACCATCACTGCCTCAACCTATGCTGTGATCAGCTCCGAATTCAACGCAGCCAACACCGCCTCGTGGCTCACAACCTCCTATCTAATTACTAGTACCGCATTCCAGCCACTGTATGGTCGCTTCTCAGATATTTTCGGTCGCCGGACCTCCTTCTTTACAGCGACAATAACCTTCATGATCGGCTGCCTGGGTTGTGGGATTGCTAAAGATATCGTCTTTCTGAATCTGATGAGAGCGCTGACCGGCATTGGCGGTGGAGGCTTGATGACAATGGGTATACACTCGCAAATCTCCCCCTTCTCACTTGTCAACATCCCAGACGAGTGACTAACGTGGTTCAGCTACTATAATCAACTCGGATCTCATTCCTTTCCGCCGTCGCGGAATGTATCAGGCCGTACAGAACGTCATGCATGGATTTGGGTCCATCTGCGGCGCATCGTTTGGAGGAACCATTGTCGATTCAGTGGGATGGCGCTGGTGCTTTCTATTACAAGTACCAGTCGGGTTTCTAGCTCTGGTTACAGGTCATCTTGTTTTGAATCTGCCAACGCAAGATAAGTTTGCCAGTGAAGGCAGAAGTCTGCGGACAATCTGGAAATATGTCGATTTGTCTGGAGCATGTGCTCTGATTGTTGGACTTTCAACGCAGTTGATTGGTCTTAGCTTGGGTGGAAATGAGCTCCCTTGGTCCAGCGTATGGGTGATCTTGTCATTCGTGGCCAGTATAGTGTCACTGGGCCTTTTCGTACTCATCGAAGCGAGGACAACTGCAATTCCATTGATCCCCCCTCGAATGTTGAAAGGCGTTCTGCCAGTTGCTACGCAGGTTGCCAATGTCTGTGTGGGAATGGCTGCCTATGCGGTGAGCGACCCTTCTGTCAGGTATCCCAGTTCACTGCTGACTGTCAAAGTTCCTTTTCACGCTTCCATTACTGTTTCAGGTAATCCTTTTGGATTCCCCTTCTAAAGCTGGTGCTCGACTTGCTGTACCATCTCTCGCTACCCCGATTGGTGGTGTGATCTCTGGCTACGTGATGTCGCGCTGGGGTAAACTGGCCTACCTGGTCCGTACAGGCTCGTTTCTCATGTGCATTGGCAACATACTTGTAATGCTTCTTCAGTTCAATGACGCAGAGTGGAAGTACTACGTGGCCATGATCCCCGCCAGTCTTGGACAAGGCATCACTTACCCAGGGATTTTGTTCACGTTTCTTGCTGCATTCGATCACGCGGGTATGAGCACCTTGCCGCCACTTCCCTTTCCTTTGACAGAGGGGAGCTTCTGAATAAAACTGACTGACTTTGCCAGACCACGCCGTTTCAGCGTCCACCGTCTATTTGGTCCGTTCGATGGGTACAGTGTGGGGCGTCGCCATTACGTCCACTATCATCCAGAACACCTTGCGCTCAGGCCTCGCTGAGGCCTTGAGTGGAATACCTGACAAATGGAAAGTAACTCTCCTCCCTGTGGATTTACTAATATCTTGAAACAATGGCTGATCAGTATTATGCTACTCGCACAGGTTATTGACGACATCAGACATTCAGTGTCTGCCATCCATAGTCTGCCGCCAGAGATCCAGCTGGCTGCGCGGATGGTCTACTACCGGGGCATACGACTGTCGTTCTTGGCGTCAGCGTGTTTTGGATTCGTTGCTGCTACAGCGGCACTCTTCACTCGCGGAAAGGGCCTTCATCGCTCGAGCGAGGCGTAGATCACGCGTACGTCGCACGCTGGCTCGCTTAAAAAACAGGCCGTTTGGAACGCGGACCGTCCAGTGCCTGGATGAGATGCGGGGCCGAAGTGGCGACTCTCGGGGAAGGTAGGTCTGGTAGACAAATGACCGCCAGCTTGAAGTTGGGGGACGCGGCTTCGCAAACTTAGAACTAGACAGATGTCAATTAGCTCACGAGAGAAGGGGCCAGGAGCTTTTTGTTTGAGACCATCCATTCGGGATGGTCTTTTTGGACGTACCAGATAGCTGACTGGTTATGAAGGAGACGTCCAATCGCAGAAAAAGCAGACTTGAATAAATACACTCTTTTTGGATTCCAGTGCAATCATGCCCTTTAATTACCCGCTTTGGCTTGTGTTCTAGATGTTCAATCTATCCCATGCGCCCAGCAGGATCCGTTCCGCAATGCGGAGAAAGCCCCGTCTACCGAGGAAAGCTACTCTGGGGCAGCTCCCATTTCATGGATTACCGCAGTGAAACACCAATAGAAGCCATAAACGCCAAATTCTCTCTGCCGGGATATTGCGGGGAAGCTACCCTCCTGACAGCGCTGGCGGCGAGTCTGGAGATATAGGGCAAGCTCCACGACGCTATAGCATGGTTAGCCGCATTTTTCCCCCGCACGATCGTCGACGATCACCTCCAGTTCATGAGCAATTCCGCCCTAGTTCCGCTATGGTGGACGTCTCTAACCTAAATCCGGGGATGGTCTTGCTTTTACTCCCTTTTGGTTGGACGGGACGTGATAACAGGTCTCGGAATTCGATAAGCGTTCCGGGATATCTTGGGTATCAGTCATCAGTCATCCGTATCGGGCCTGGATGAATAGGTTGATTCAAGGAAAATCAGTCTCCACCGCTTTGATCTTATCGACCTTGGATGCTTATCGTAATCGAGGTTTACATCTGTCAAGGTCCCTTCTGGGGACGCGGAGCTAGGGCCATCATCGTAGGAAGGATTCATAAGATGGCTGATCCTCCACTTGAAGTATATTGATTCCGCAGTGCCTCATCACACGGCAGACAACATAAGAGGCCATGGAGTCAGAAAACACTAAGGTCTCGCACCTGAAACCCGGGTATGCCGCATCGGCAGACCTTGAAGTCGACATGGACAAGGGGCAGGTTGCCCTTACGGGCATCCCGGACATGCACCTGAAGCGAAACTTCAGCATAGTCAGTATAATTGCCCTGGGGTACAACAATACGAATAGCTGGGTGGCCATAGCCACGAGCTTTGCTATCGCAATTCAGTCGGGCGGCGCAGTCTCCCTACTGTATGGCATTCTACTGGTCACTGCTGCCATGTTCTGTACCGGTGTTACCTTGGCAGAACTGGCCAGCGTGTACCCCACTGCTGGTGGCCAGTACCATTTTACCTCCATCCTGGCGTCTAAACGATGGAGCCGTGGCCTGTCTTACTTCAGTGGCATGGCTGCAGTGTTTGCATGGATTACCCTTGGGGCCTCTATTGCGCTGGCCGGAACAGAGGCGCTCATGGCTATTGTCATCCGGTGGCAGCCCTCATATGAAGCCCAAAGCTGGCACTATTTCCTAGTATACCAACTGCTGAACGCAGTTATGGTCACCTACAACATCTTCCTCACCAACAAGACCCTCTGGGTCTACAACCTAGGCTGTTAGTTAGCTCCCTTCCAATTCGCAGAAGACAATACTAAATACACTGCTTCTCCTCTTGCAGTCATTCTGTCCATCTCAACCTTCCTAGCTATTATCATAACCTGCCCGGTACGCTCTTCCGCACATATCAACACCTCGAACACTTGGCGTCAGTTCGTCAACGGTTCAGGCGGCTGGCCGGACGGCGTCTCCTTCTTGACAGGACTCTCAACGCCTCAGTTCATGTTTTCCGGACTCGACGCCGCACTCCACCTTGCAGAGGAATGTCTCGAACCCGCACGCATCGTACCAAAGGCGTTGCTCGCCACAGTGACAGTGGGGCTTTTGACAGGTTTCCCCTTTGCCATCGCCATCCTATACAGCTATGACAACATCGAAGCATCTCTAACCACCTCCACGGGGTATGTATGCCACCAGTCCTGAATAAGAAAAGTTACTTACCGGAAACCGACAGGTTTCCAATCTACTACATCTGGGAAAAAGCCACTCACTCCCCAGCAGCTGCGACAGTCTTCATGGCTGCACTGTTTGTCGTCTCTGTCGTGGCACTCAACGCAGTCCATCAGACTGCCTCTCGACTTACATGGTCCTTTGCCCGCGATGACGCTCTATTCTTCTCCTCCTTTCTCTCCTCTATACACCCTACGCTCGGAGTCCCCGTTTGGGCCATTATCCTTGACGGTGCGGCAGTGCTTCTGGTCGGGATTGTCTATGTCTGCTCAACAACAGGTAAGCCTAAGCCTTTGCCCAGACGATCATCCTCTACATAGGATCTAACATCGAAATAACAGCATTCAACGCTTTTATCAGCACCACTGTCGTGGTAGCCCAAATCTCCTACGCCATCCCAGCAATTCTTCTCCTCGTTGGCGGGCGGAATCCGCGTTACCTTCCTCCAGATCGCCGATTCAAAGTTCCCAATGTACTAGGCTACGTTTGCAACGTTGTCTGCGTTATCTGGGCTTTCATTCTGACGATCTTCTTTTGCTTTCCGACGGAGTTTCCCGTTACGGGGAGTAACATGAGTACGTGTTTCTTCTACTTTCCTACTATTGACCTGCTTTATGATAAGGAGTACGCTTTCCTAACACTTGCAAATTGCTTAGATTACGCTTCCGTCGTGCTAGTCGTTATGTTGATCTTGGGCGTAGGGAACTGGTTTGCTTATGCGAAAAGGCATTATCACGGGCCACGCTTAGATATCTAGTTTACTATCTTGTATGTAACTTGAACTGATGATTGATGAGACACAATGACTGTATGGTTATTTTCCACTGAAGTATGATAGATAGTAGATAGTAGTTTATCTTCGTAACCAAATGATTTCAAAGCCGATTCAAAATTATACATTCTCATCTATACTTCACTTCAATATCTATTGCAACTCCCACTATTAAACATCTACTTGGGATTTCAAAGATTAATGGTAGCGACATACACCCCGTCGGAACGATTCCGAGCCCCAACCGTCCGGTAAGTGGGGAGGAGAGATCAGTGGATAGGTTTTGATAATTCGTTGGATAGTGACTTCCCGGCCGACTTGATCCCACTCGACTTTGATCAGATAAGTAGATAACGGTTTAGATCAACGTGCTGTTACTATTGCCGTGAGCACGGGGTAATTATCATCGCTTATCGGTCTCCAGGTGGAGAGGATCAAAGAAACAATGGAAGTGGTCAGATGTGCTCACAGACTCCTACCACAGGTGCATTTTATTACTATTTTTGGACTGGCACAACGGCGCGCATAGTTTCCTAAAATGGCAGTCTTTATACCTGCTGTAACCTGATAAGGGCGCCGCTGCTTTTGTGGGGGTACTACTACTAATATTGATCGTTGTAGATAGTATCTATGGAATAGATAGTATAAAGGTTACAGTGTAATCATATGTGCATTTTGATGGAAGTACTTTTGAGCAATGATGCCTTTGTTTTTATATATTTCATTGTATAAGTATTCCAAGCTGGGATAATAGAATGCTGGAAGTGAGGTAGGTCTATGCACACGACTCATTGATAGTGACAATTACATACGTCATTTGATTCGAATCATTAGTAAAACGCTGCCAATAAAAGAGCCCGCAAAACGACTCTGTAACATTACGCATGGAATCACAACACTGAAGGATTATCTGTCTCTCGATCCGAAGCTATTCTTTCCTCCTTTCATTTTGCGACATCTATTCCACCATGATGTTCCAATAGCAATTCCAAGAGCAGCGGTGTGCGACTTGAAAATGTCAACTATTGTATGTCGATGGGACATATCTCTGCAGTAATAGAAGCAATATACCGTTGCCCAAAACCTAATCCCTCATATCCTAGCAACTACCACCCCAAAAGGCGCACTCCTGCGCTACTTGTGCGTACCATTCATGATATGGATCTTCAGCTTGATGCTCCACCCAGTCAAAACCCCATCGCATGTTACATCCCTATCCGCTATCACCGCTTGGTTCAACATTCTCTCAGCCCTGGATCCCCTGCTACTCAACCCCAAAGAAGCAGATGACTTTGTCGCCATCAACGAGGGAACAAGCAAAGTCAAGAGCTTCTTCTATGGCTTACGAACCGCCCTGAAACAGCATCTTAACACCCAAAAAATCAACACGCCCGAGAAAGCAAAGAACACGCCTCCCATGCCGAGATATTACACCCAGGGGAATGGCAGGAATGCATCAAAGCCTATCTCCCGACGCCGGTACCTAATCCGCGAGACGGCGATTGCGGTGTGGCAATATCTGGTTCTGGATATTTCGACTTCACAAGCTGTCAAGTCAGGTCTGAGCAAAAGTGAACAGCAGCAGCAGCAGCAGCAAATTACCTTTGTTGAAGACTCCTGGGTAGAGCTATGCTTAGAATAAATCATCGTGGCCATAACCGCTTGGTTTATTGTAGGACGCATCGTGATCGGCTTCACCTATCGTTTAGTTGCGGTAGTCAGTGTCGGCTTGAGGCTAGAAGCACCTGTAGAGTTTCCACCGTTATTAAGTAAGATGACTGATGCTTAAACGTTACGGAATTCCTGGTAGTGGGTGGCTCATTCTATGGCTCTTTCATCTCTTTCTATCATGAAACATATATACTATATATATCATTTAGTATACATACTAATACCCATCTGAACAGAAAGTTCTGGCATCAACTGCTCCGCATTAAGTTCACTGCCATAAGCAACTACATCACTCGTGATATTCTCGGTCTGGTTAAATCATCATTCTTCGAGCGATTACCCAGGTGTTTTGGGTAGTCTACACCTTACTGCAGACGTAGTAGGGAATATACCAATGCGCGAGTCTGGCGCTATGGTGTTCTTCTTATCATTCGTGTTGAGTAGAGTAATAAAATCACAGCAATGTTTCATTCATGAGATGAAACAAATACTAGTATAAAAGCTGCATAATTGCTCGCTTGGATATACTCTTCACACGTAGTACCTAGCAGTAGTAGGAGCAAGTAGCAGACGAACATATTAACCTTAACTGATAAGAGGCTATACTATGTATCATTGTATGACTATGATGATCTAGCAGTAGTACTGATCCCTCCACTCAATCCGCGTGCACATCTATGATCACACTGACAGCTTTTGTCTATATTCATCATGGTTTGCATAGATAGCTACTACCTACCCAGCAGAGAGAAGCATACCTCCCCCTCTCACCTGCAGCCAAGCCCAAGGAAAATTGGTCGATGTTCTATGAGGAATTTTTTTTAGGTGAAAAGTTTACGTCAAGTGCGAAAACCTCGATCTACTTACGTACAAGGAAAGAACGATCTACTCCTGCAGGGCCTCGTGTGGGTGTAGGCAGCGAGCCACTCAGCTGGGCCAGAAGCATCGGGACAGCGCATTAGTTATGAATGCTGCCTAGCCCAAACCCGCTCTGCCAGATTTGAACGGTACCACCAATCGGAGAGACCGTTATTGGTTGGACTCTCCTGGCGCTGGGCTTGGCTTTGGATTCAAGCTCAAGACGGAAAGTGAACTAGAGTCGCAGGTGCCCCTAGGCATGACAGCTGCAGACTCTGCCAAGATGTCCAGGATTTTTTCTTCATCAAAGGTAAATGCTTCAAATGCAGTCTACACTGTGTATCACATTGTGGGAACACCATGCACAGATGAGGGGACATATCACGAATGATGGCAATTACTGGGGTAGCCAACGCGGCAAAAGGGGGAAATTTCACAAGTCATCAATTAAGAAAAGCGCCATGAAGCAAAGAGGTTGATTCACCTCCCTCCCCGTTCCAAGCACCACCCCGGGTTCCTAAACACATATATCCGGGATCACCATATTGAACAGAAAGGAGAATAGAAGAGGTAAAAAATAAGAAAATAAAAAGAGCATTCCCATGGGGGCACGACGAAAGAAGACAACAGTAACGCAATGGGTAGATTAACAAGAAAATAGACAAAAACCGCGTAGCAACTGCAGCTTGTCACAGCAGCGCTTCCCGGCGCCCCTGGACTCGACCGGTCTAGTGTAGCACGCGATGAAAGGGGAATTTATCATATCGTCGAGGTCGTATATCGATCGTGAGAGCTCGGTTGGTCGCGCAGCCCTCGCTACATTCGAGGTAGCACCCGTAATCGATCACAGCTTAACACATCTCACAGCACTCGATGCACTCGAAGCAGCATTCGCAGGACTCCTCACACAGGAAGCAGCAGCAGAGCGTCGCCAGGCTAGATGGTAAAAACGGTCGGATTAGTAAGATGCGGTGCGACAAAATTCAGCAAGGGTAAGGCCTACCAGGCACCGAGACATCCGCGGTCCTTCTGCTGGGGAGGGGGCTGTTGCTGGTACTGCATCTGTTGTCCGGTCAGAGTCCGATCGCATGACTGAATATAACACTGGTATCACATACCGGAGGGTAGGGCTGCTGGGGGTATCCCTGGGGAGGATAACCACCCTGCGGAGGCGGATAGCCCTGGGGAGGGTACCTGTGCGGAGACCAAGTCAGAACAATGCGCAAATCCGGAGTATGATCTAAGGAGACATTCTGCGACCGCTGGCCGGCTCAGGAAGAGAAAGACCAGTGTCGAAAAGCTTGGAAATAAGCCAGTCTCAAGACGGGTTCCTGAACCAACACGCCGCGGTCGCTTTGAATCCGAATGGCCGGTGCAAAAACCACAGGAGATCAGGCGCAATGGAGGGCGGAAAGACTTACGCCTGGGGCGGGGGAGGAGGGCCGTTGTAGTATCCGGGAGCGCTCATTGTGAAGGAAAAGAGTCTGTGGGTAGGAATAAAAGATAGGACTGGGTCAGCGTGGTGAACTTGGCAGTTGACAGTAGCGGATGGAAGAAAGAGAAAGAGGATGAGTGAGTGGACGGAGGACGGAAGCCCAGCCTTGCGTTGGCCAATAAAAGGGAAATAAGCGTACCTAAGACAACGCCGAGTTCTAAACGGAGTCGATGGAAAGCGGAAAGGTAAGAAAGGGGGGGAGAGGAGGAAGAGGGAAGAAGAGCAGGAAGAGGAACGATCGCTAGGGGTTGGGAAAGGCGAAAGGAGGCGGAGAAAGAGGAGAAGATCGCTGAGCCGCCGTTCAGGTCTTTTAAGGTTTTGGTTGGTGGATGAGAGAAAAGGAAGAAAGACAGTCAGACAGTCAGACACACGAGACAGACAGAGACAGAGAGAGAGAGAGAGAGAAGGGAAGACCACTTATTAAGAAAATTACACTTCATTCACTTCCCCTGCTCTTCTTCTCGTAACATACCTTACAGCAATCAAGGTCCCACGAGCCAATAGTGAGCAGTAGTGCAATCCTGTTTACGCCCCCACCCCCAACTAGAAGGGCGCCAGAAAATCCTAGCCGCCCATGTCTAACCCAGCCTGAAACAGGGAAAAGCAACTGATGAGTGACTGAGAGAAAAGAATGGAAAATTAATCAATATTGAATCCGAAACAAGTGCTATCTAAAGCTAAGTGATCATCTGTCGTGATTCCTTCAAAGTGCAGAGAAAATTGAACTGTGAGAGAGAGAGAACCAGCTCTCCCTCTCCGACCGAAGGGGACCGTCAGCCCATAATTACAATACATACATACTGGTCTCATACGCAGCACCGCCCGGACTCAGCCACATTAGCGCAGCCCTACAGGACCCAGTTACCGCCAGGCACCAGCCACGACAGTTCCTGCTATTGATTGATTTGGGGAATTTGTCCTGGAACAACTGTCGGACAACCCCTTCAGCGGTCAGGGCCAGCACTGTCTGCCTACCAATCACCGCCCTGGTGCTTGGGGTTGCGCCCCACTGCCATCGCCCGTGGGCGATGGCTCAGGGAATGAAAGGTTAGTTGTCAGCCAACCGTCGTCGGCTGGCCGAAGGATCGCTGCCATCATTGGCAGGAGGGCTGCCCTGCAGTTCCACTGCATGCCCCGGCGCTCATGAGACCCCTAAAATTGCGCCCAATCACTGCGCCCAACTTCGTGGCAGTCGGGTGCCGGCACAAAGCCACGCCCGGCGTCACCGCCTACCTGCACCGCCTACCTTACGGTCACCGCCCGTGGCATCTTCGAGCACGGTCCCTGCGTATCTTAGTATCCTTTAGCAAGAGTAGGCTGCAGTTACCAAAATAGGTCCTGCAAGGTTGGCAGTGGTCTTCCCCACCATACCCTAGTCCCGAGACTTGTACTCGGGGGGACTGTGGCTCTCATGCACGATGTGCATTAAATCAATATATTTCACGAATCTGAGACTGGCTGATTGACTGCTCATCATCACACATTATGTCGTAGCGCCCATCAGGGGCATCACCAGGTCGACTTGGTCGGCCCTCTGGAGTCCGAAGAATGAAGAGAAGAGAAGATAGAAGATAGAAGAATCACTGAAAGAAAAGAAGAAGAAGAAGAAGGGGGAAAATGAGAAAAAATGGTAGGAGAAGAATTAGAAGAGGAAAGATTAGGAACAGGAAAAAGGAAATGAGAATAGAGAAAATGAGAAGAAAAGAAAAGCCAGTGAGAATTTATCACACGAAATATAGGCGAAAAGTGCAATGTGAAGAATATGGAAACAGCCCCAAAAAAATCAAGGTTCAAGATGTATAGTATCAACAAGAAACCCATGAGTAACCAAAGATCTAGTCTCAAGCCCCTCAGGGGAGGTAAATGAGAAAGCGACCAACCGCTGGGCTGAGGTTTATACAATCACACATACGAATCGATCTCAGGTGGTAACGTCTGAGAATCGAAGTAACAAGGAGCAGCATCCATCGATGGGTCCATGACCATCGTCGGCATCGCAGTGAAGGACTCAAATCCGTTCACTAATGTCGAGTCCATACCCTGAGAAGAGATATCTTCGACCGACGTCTGTGGCAATCCAGAGAACGCAATGTCCTCGGAGGCCGCAGGCGGAGCAGCCGCCATGTCATCGCCTAGCGCATCCTGGTCAATATAGTTCTGGGCATTTTCGAGGACGATCTCCTCTTTCTGCACCATCCAATGCTTCAGGACATCCATGGGAGGATGATTTCCACCGCCCTTGCCGCCGCGCTTCTCGCTGTCTTTGCCACGACCACCACGGCCTCTTTGGCACGGGTTGAAGTGGGTGCGACGAAGATGAGCGGCAGCGTTGTAGTTAGCACCGTATCTTTTGCCATTCCGACAAGCCTTGCAGTTGGCCAGGAATGTCTTGCCAGGAGAGATGTCAACACAAACCCAAACCTTGCGAACAACGGCATGGACCCGCTCAATGTGTCGACGCAGCTCGTGCTCTCCATGAAAGCCATCCGGCTGGTCGTTGCACATGTTACAATACGTCTTCGGACGTGGGGGCCGTTGTATCGAGGCCTTGGGAATGGCTGCAACCTCTTTGGCAGTACCATCCGATGATGAAATGCGAATCATCTTGTGCTGCTCAGCCACCTTGGGGGGCGAGCTGCTGTGTGGCTCGGCTTTAGGAGCAATGGGTCGAGTACCCTGAACGATCTGTTCTTGGGTCCTGCGAGCCGCCCTCGATGGCTGGGAGAGAGACGAGCTGTCGCTCTCGACAGACATAGAAGGCCTCATCTCCGTCGCAGTGGACGGAGAAAGTGTAGGAATGGGTGGATGGAAGGATGTGGAGGATGGAGCGGAGCAAGAAAATGACATCGAGCCAGAGGGCTCAGTGAAGGGGAGGGGGACTTCGGGGTTTGGGTGTCGGTGCATAGATGAGAAAGAAGCAGGGAAGGGGACGTTCATGGGGGAGGTGGAGGTGACGAATTCAGAGGGGACGGAAAATGAGAAATTGGAGTCCAGATTCGGTCCCGAGGAATCGAATCTCATCATTCCCAAACCTCCGCACAGCGAGTCCGTAGTGGTACTCCTGCTCATTTCCACGGCAGCCGGCTGGACCGGCTGCTCGACCATGGTGGGGTTGGACATGGCTGTGAAGTTCGTCGCCATCAGGTCAGGCTGGCCCTGATTTAACTGGGGTTCTTGCCGAAGTCCGGACATCGTCGAATCCGCAGAAAGCGCCATAGAAAGTGCCGAGACGTGTCCCTGGCCCTGGAAATCATCCAAGTACTGTTTGGCGTATTCGGAGGGCGTGTACTCGCTGACATGGTCAAGGCGGCGCTGCACACGCTGGGGTCCATAGGAGTGTCGAAAGCCCGTTGCAGGGGTTGTCAGCGACGGACGGTGAGCAACCGGTATCTGCTGACTCTGCGAGCGGACCATAGCCGTGTGCCGGGAGGAGGGCCCAGGACCAGAGTAAGAGACCGAGCTGCCTTTCCGAGAATTCGTTCTTGAGAGGCGTCGAGTAGTCTCAGGAGCCGCCGGCGAAGACGCATGAGACAGTTCGCGCGTCAGATCAACGGTCACTGGAGGTTCCGGAGTCTGCCAAGTGTCAATCCAAGGACTGTTGGCGGGAGATGACAGAAGAGAAGAAGATCATGGAATAGCGCGGGAGGGACAGAATGGGTAAAAACGCAGGTATGGAGGAGAGGCGGGAGCAGAAGACCAAGATAGATCACATACGGTGACTCGTCGTTTCGGTGGAGGAAGACCAGAACCAGGTAGGGTCCGGGGGGTATCCTGTCGTAACCGTTTCCCAGATTTCTCGAGAGCCGCGCCGCCATCTTCAGGAAGACCAGAACCGGGAACCGGGCGGTAACTGGACGAGGCGACAGAGGATATGGAAGAAGAGGCCGTGGTGGTCATGAACTGACTTAACCGCTGACTCCAAAGTTCGTTTCGCTCTGATTCCGGAAGATGGGAGTGTCGATCCAAGAAAGCGTCCCGATACCCAGAGATGGCCCTTGTGAAGAGTTCGTCGTCGGCCATGGTGCCAGCCATAGTGGGTGAAGAAGTCCTCGCTGAGTGCTGCCTCTTCTCACGTAGGATGAGCGAGGAGGCAGGTGCTGCTATCAGTATCAAGTGACTTCAGGGGATTGGAGAGGATCTCTAGAGCTAGCGCGATTTAGTATATGTATGGCAAGGGAGATCTCCTTGGTGACTTGCACCTCAGAGCGACCACGAGAGGGGAAAGACTGACTGGAATATAGAGATAGAGAGTAGTAGAGAGAATAGCCCGATAGACACTGAGATCAACGGGGCAGGCAGTGAAGTGTAGAAAGAGTACACGGCAGAAGGGAGCAAGGCCGGTACAGATAAGATAGAAGGGTGGTGAGAGATAAAATCGTATGGGAAGGGAAGGTTGTTGATGAGATGATGAAGAAGAGAGTAGGTAAGAGAGAGAGAGAGAGACAGATGGGGGGGAGGAGATATATGAAGGCGCGGTGGAGTAAGAGAACAATGGGAAGTGCCAGATGGATGTTGACAAGGAAGATGACGATAACGATAAAGAACGAGGAGGCAGATGAGGTGGGAAGAGGTTATCAATTAAATGGAGCATCCACCATCCCCACACCCGGGTTGGTCAAAAGGTCCGGAGAGGGTCAAGGATGAAACTAAGGTGAGAATGGATTAGGAGGAAAGCAAAAAGCAAGAGGAGGGGAGGGGAGGCAGAAAAGAGAACCTAAGGGGAGAAAATGGGTAAGGTACGAATGGTGGATGGAACGAGCATGAGCGAACAAAAGATCCGTCAGAAGGAGAAGCAGTAGTTGCAGGTTAGTTTAGGGAGTTCATGGCCCATCGAGAGGTTGAAACTGGGCGGGGATGGAAAGATGGAGGGAGGGATTGGAAGCCTCCCAGATGAGTCCAGACCCTCTTGGGATGGCCAGGATCTGTCGCAACTTTTTTTGGGGAGAGAGGAGTTGAGTTAGGTAGTAATTTAGTAAGTAGTAGTATGGAATTGTATTATGATTTTTCCCGATTTGGGTGACTGATTCCTTTAATTCTCATTTGATAGTTTTTGCTTTCCCCATTTTGATCTCCCATTTTGACTTTTATTTTGATTCTTTATTTTAAAAGATTCTTTTTTTTTTTATTTATCTGTGTTTCCTTCTGTCCCCTCGTTTCTTTTTTTCTGTTTCCCAAAAAGGGAAAGTATCAGGATGAAGAAGAGGAGGGGGGGGAGTTAAGTGTGAGCGAACCAAAACAAGAAGTGAAAGAGGTAGGAAAACTAAAATAGAGAAAAAGGAAATAATTATTATTGTTGTAATTTTTGGGGAAAGAGAAGGAGGGAGGAGGGGGAAATCGATTCACCGTCTGGGCCGAAGATGGTGATCAGAGCGCTAGTGCCGAAAAGAGAAGAGACCACTTAACTACCTAGGTACTAACCAGTGGCCGTCAGTAGTATTATTATTTTTTTTTATTCTGGGGAAAAAGGGAATAGGGAAAGGAAAAGAGAAAAATTGGGATATGGGTCAAAAGCACACTAAGCACTGTAAGATAGGAAAAAGAAGGAGGGAGAGAACACGACCAACCCACGTCCAGCAGACCACTAATGGCGGTCCTCAGTCAGCAAAGGAAAAAGTGGAAAGACACACCACCACCACCACCACCACCACCACCACCACCACCACCAAGTCAGAACTAGACCTACTGGGAAAGGTCAAGGGGAGGGTGACACGCTGACTGTTCAACAGAGGCCCGAATGGACCTGGTTGCAACGGGTTAGACACATCGATCGGACGAGTCGCAGTGGACGGACAAACACGGTGTGTGCGCCCCAAAGTGAGGCAGCGAAACGGATTCCATCGTCATCGACCCGGACCAGCAAAAGCACCTGCTGCGCTGGAAGGGTCATGATCAGTCATCCGAGTGGTTATGATGGGTTATGTGCACGGGATTATTATTACTACTATTGTTACTAACTACTGTACGGAGTCCGACAATGACCAACTCTCCTATGGAGTCCCAAGCTAGTCTAGTTATTATTATGGGGACCGGCTGCACCAGTCCAATTCTGCTGGACTTTGATACGCTGTACCCGGTCTGCTGCAGCGCCTACGGCGGTACATGGGCTTGAAAGAATCCTGGGCCTGTTTCCCCAGCAGTGGTTCCGCAAGCCTCAGGTACCTACTGAGTCTAAGGTAGGAACAGTGACTCCAGGTTGAGGTACCTGGGTATGGTAGTCCTCCCACCAGCAGTGGCTTGCTGCGGCGGAGCAATGTACCAACGGTCCGGTTGGTGGCCAGTGGCAGGCCTCCTGCGCCCGTCTGCTCCGTACAAAGCACCCGGGGAGTCTACCAACTTTCCCCCCTCGACTCTACGGCTGCCACGTCGATGTCAGGCTACACCCGTTCGGGCTTTTGTCGTCCACATACTCCGTACATACTCCTACACTACCACAGTGCTCGTCACGGCCAACTCTAGTTGGTCTTACTCCTCTGTCAGTTGGTGATGCGCTTGCAGATGACGAGCCAGCCGGAACTCAAGTTGTCTCCCTTATCGCGGTCGCTTGTTGTCGTATCAGGCGCGGCAGCAGAATAACTGAGAGGAGTAAGATCTCCTGAACAGTTGAGCACAAACCTTCTCTACGTTGTGTCTGGACACGACACTTTGGAGTCGAGTCTAGATGAGCAAACTCCAAGGGGCGATTGGGTATCAACTGGATTTGTTGTCAACCCCAGGCATCCCATTCTTCGTGTCTAGATCGTGTGCAAAAGAAGAAGCCGATGGTCATTAGTATATAGCAACAACTTAGGCAAGCGGCACGTAACCTGGGTACAGTCCCCGGGCCCAACCCGCGGTACCACGCGGAAGACATCCAGGGTTTGGCCGGCGTTGTCTGCACATGGCCGTCCAAGAATGACACGAGCTGGATCAGGTAATTATTGACACGGACTGCTGACAGTAGTCTGCCCACTCTGTGGTCTTTAGGGGTATGGTGGCTATGGAGCGCCGTACCAGAGAGGTGACGAAAATCTTTCGTAAATCCAGCTGCTAGAATATTTCCCGGATCTTCCTCTGGCGCCGTGACCGGACGATCTCAAGACTATCGACGATGGACCGATCATTTGGGGAAAGGGGGAGTGTGTGGGGCGGATGAAGATGCCGCCCAATACGCGGGAAGGGAGACCAGAGATCACGTGCTACACGTGACTCTCTCCCAATCAGGACTAGACCACTGACAGCTGAGAGAACAGTAGTAGTTACTACATACGTAGTACTTACTATTAATCGTTCACCCACGGTGGGATAGGAAGAACAGTTGGTCCATGGGATCAACTAGCCCACCCTACTACTTACTCAATGAGTTAGTCGAGGAACGCTGTAAGTGACCAAGGGTTGCTGCGGATGGATTGGTCTATGTGCTGGCGTTTCACCTCCACCCTGCCAACACGATGATAAAATTTAACCAAATCATGATAGCTTAGGAACGCGCTCCCCCTCATACTCTCACCGAAGGCAAAGCGCTTTTGGCGGTCAACCGCTCCTCCACCGTTGTTTCAGAGTTCCAGCACCCACCACGAGCCCACTGCAGTGTCACCGCTTTTTTGAGGCCTAAGAAGCGATGACGATACTACGGAGTTGAAAGTGACCACCACTATGGACCGACTACTGCACCGTAGGAGTCCATAGTGTGTCCCCGAACGGGTAAAGCGCCGTTTCTGGAACCGGCTATCGTGTCTGAACATGGCTCGAGCCAATGACCGACGGCGCTCATAGTGTCTCTTCCCGAATGAAGAAAACATAGACAGGGAAATCAGGGACGAGATACGTGGGATACTCGTGTGCAGAGTTGCTACTCCACTGTTGTCTCCGGCTTAATCTGTGCGGGTGGAGGATTTGTTCTAGGAAATCCCCCTCTTGCCGATTCTCGAAGACAGTCGAATCTCCGGCCCTCGCTGGTCGGCAGAACGGAGTACACCGTCGCAGTATGAGCAACAGCGGGGTATTGAGTTGAACCCGTGACTCATGCACACTGGCTCAAGCATTCACCACTTCGTCCTCAATCTAGACACTGTATCGAAGAAAAGCGACTGAGGGAATAATCATTATCTCTACGGAGTAAATCCGGTGGCGAATTTGGCTTCTCTACTGTCATGTCGGTCTGGAAAGTTGTTACCTCTCAACTGCATCCAAATACCGAGACTGCTCCGTAGTAGTGAACAATCAACAATCAAACCCCACGATCGGTGAGGGAGAAATGTGTTGAAGTCTGGAGATCGCTGTTGCCTTCCAACAGATCAACCAGCATCGAGCATAATATGTCGGCGATGAACTGCGTCATTGCCAGTTCTGCCCCTCCTGACTTCATCCCGCTTCAGTTTTCCCATCCCCGCCAATTTTCCTATCGTCCGATACGGACACATTCTTCACCTCCCAGCTACTCTGCGAAATACACGTCGTTGCTGGCAGGCAAACACAATGCGATAGCACGATATTTTAATTGACAAGAACTTGTTCCGTTACAGATTGTATATATTGAACACCGTACTAGTGCCACTGATCGGATCTAAAGTAGTACTATATATCCAAGAGTAGTATTCAACCAGTCGCGCCAGAGCAAGCGAAACCAGTGAACGCATCATGATCATAACAATAAAAGGGAAACTAGTATCTTCATACACCGTCCAAAGCAACAGCCATAATGGCACTGTTTGGCACGATTCATCGAGCTGAATTACCAAGTGCACAGCTCATGAGTAGAGTCCTGATGACAGACCACACTGTACCAACATACCACGTGATATTACTTCGATTACGAATACCATCTAGTTTTTCAATAATAGTAGCCATCCCCATCCACTAAGTACATGACAACAACCATCCAATGTAAGTACCTACTTAGAATTCCCCTCTATAACCAAAACAAGAAATCCTATCCCTAGCCCGTCTTCCAGAAAGTGGAGGGCGATAAGTAATCATTGACTACCCTACTTACCAAATATAGCACCAAGTCCGGGAACAAGGGGATTTCACTAACAATCTAATTTCACGCACCCGAGATGAAGAGTAGTAAGATACTACTATGCAATAATGCGACAATTTTCTCAGCCAGTACGGAGTAGCGGAAATGAGTCGGCTACCGGAAATAAGCAGAGAGAATGCATTGATAGAAAAAGTCAAAGCGATGAATAGACAACAACTACCTATAGTGACAATCGGAAAGTAAATGGAGTCAATGAAGATGATGATCATACGGTCTTCCTTCTGGCTGGCATCAAATGACAAGTTGATGGAAAACTAACTAAAACTAAATTATTAGCTAGCTAGCATTCGCTGCGCTCACAACTTGTTTTCACACCAATGCACTGTGATAAGTCTAAGGCGGACAATTGAAATTTGTCGTAGGATGTCAGTTAGTTAGTGAAGCCAGCTGGGCGACAATTTTCATCGATGCCTGCCAGCTTTCTTAGATTATGTTTAGTACGCAGGTACTTTTTCGTACCTTGGCCCCGATCGACTTGGGCGTTGTCTGGAGAAGCGATGATGATGATGATGCTGATGATGAAGATGGATGAAAGGGAGGGGGAAAGAACAGAAACCGACATGGGGACAAAAATAGATGCGTGACGCTATTCCGTGGGCGTCATGGTCGGTGGTAGCAAAGCACCCCTATTCGATGAACAAGGGGATCGGCGGGCCCGCTAGACGTTCTGTGATCGTCCAATTTCCCTGAAGGGGGTGGGATGATAGGCTGGAAAAGGCTTTCAAAGTGGTCCACTAGTTCGTACCATCTGTGATTCCATGCAGGATGCGCATACAGCAGTGTGTGCTGCCGGTTGATGGTGGAAAAAGCAGGGAAGAAAGTTTTTGGGTTGAGAATCCCCCTCCTCTTTCTCTTTCTCTCTTTGCTCTCTCCAGGTTTTAGCGTATGCCTGACTTGGGCAGTTGTCACGCTAACTTATTTCCGAACCAAGGACGGACCTTGCAAAGCTGACATTTTTATCCCTGAGAAATAGTAGTTATGTAGTTGGTGATTGTGTCTGTTTGCTCGTTTTTTTTTTGTTTGGGTTTAATTATTATTATTATTATTTTTTTTTTCGGGTCGAAAGGGGAAAAGTATCTAGACTTGGGACAGTTACCGAACATTGGAAGGTTCCATGGGACGCCCGGTTGGCGCTATCTTGCCAAACTGCAACTGACAGCGAATCATTTAAGATTTGAGGCCGGAGCTGTTGGGCCACCCGCCCTTCCCATAGAAACGCGGACGGTCGAAAGGATTCAGGTCACTGCACTTAGTCTAGTTACTTAGGTCACCAACACCCACCTCTTTTTCCGCGCCAAAAGGCTAAACTTATCATCTTACTTGAAACCACTATGACAACATCTTCGCTGGGGTGATCGGAAACGGCTGCCGCCCATGCCCAACCAGTCCTAATTAGTCAGTTTTCTGCCTTACTCGATCCCTGTTTAAGATGTGATCGAGTCAGGCTATGGGCTGAGACTGGAGATTCGGGCAACGATAATGGCTTGGAAGACGGGACAGAAGAGGCGAGATCAACCCTCGATGTGTGAGGTCTCATGAAGCCCACCAACTGGCTGGGACTGCGTAGGCCCGGTTAGCCAGGGCATCTGAACGCTCGGTATGTTCAATGATCTGGCCGATTGATCCATGCTGATACGAACACCAGTTATCCTTGTTTGGGCCGATCCTTCTGTGTATCGACAGCTAGGAAGGACTGCCTATACGTGCAATTCACCAAGTTTCGGACAGCCCGCCACAGGCAGGCCTGGGCGTCCTTCAAAAACGAGTCTGGAACGGCGTTTAGCCAGGCGCTGGGCCAAATATCAGCTCGTTGTCCTCGCCTGAATGGGTGCTATGACCGCCAAAGGCAACGGGATTCTATGCCCTGGGCCGGATCTGTGTCTTTGATTGGATCCCACATTGAAAATTTCCATGATGACGCGGCTGAACAAGTCGAATGTTTGTGGATGGTCTCACTTCCTCAATCGTTGCTTTGCTGCTTCATTGCTAAGCCTTGCATTGCCTGAAGGATTAACCGCTGAGCCTTGTTTCGTCCAAGTGGCTGTGGCGATGCTCCGTTGCAACGCCAAATGGCGCATCTCCAGGCTAGACTCGTCAGCTCTAGTTGTCAGATAGATCCTTGCAGATCAGTGTAGCTAGTATGATGAGTACTCTGTACGCCGAGTAATCCTCAGCCACGTACGAGGTGCAAGACTCTGGAGGAGAGGTACCATTCTTTTAGCTCAAGCGGTTCTAGACTGGCCATCGGCTATTCTCGCTTGTCTTCGCGACACTGTCCCTTTCACAAGGAAGTTTGATACAGCATTTCTGCCACCGCGTTGATGTCGACATCGGCGCCACATTGCTCTGCACTCTATTAGAATCGGCATGCTTTCAAATTGCCACATTCGCTTCGGTAGGCAAATGGTGAGGGTGTGATGGCATACACTGTGGTATACTCTGCAGTGTGGTGATAAGAGTAGAAAATGGGCAGGTACGTCGATGGTACCATCGGAGCAGTCATCATCAGGCTGTTCCTTCAAGGCAGCTCTGGCTCTAGTTACTACTAGTAGAGTCTGCATCCTTCCGTTTCTACTTCCAAATGTCAGCAGAACTCTGGCATCAGGGGAATCGGATAAGCTTGATTTGTTCAAAAGTCTTCAATTTTATTTAGAAGAGTGACACTTGATAAAACAGATGCAGACCCACAGTCAGTTCTGGAGGCAAGTCACTTCATCAGGCGATGTCGCTGTGACTTCTCTACCGAAACTTCGGAAAAATATCTTCAAAAGCTGGCTCTTCCTGTTGCATGAGGTGCTCAGAGTCTAGCATTCCGATACGTTATTGCCTTGAGACCATCTTATAATAATCCTCGCAATCTTTGCCATTTGCAAATTTGATTGAGTTCTTGAGTTCGCAAGGGGGACAATCGGTATTTCTTTCATGATAACGGGCCTCTATCGAATTTGTGACATCCTTTCGATGTCCGCACAATACCTGCGGTCCTACCTTACCACCATATAATTCGTTGTGGAAACACTATTTCAATCGTTCCGGGGGGCCTCAGTGTTATTTTTAAAGCATTGTCACTTTATTCATGATGTTGACTGCAGCAATTGGGGGAGTCAGCATCATCATACTAGTACTAGTAAGGCACGAATATATATAGTACCATGACATCTTTTGACTTCATTCCGTAATGTGCATGGTTATCAGGTCATGGGTTATCGCCTGGCATTGAAGTGACAAAGTGCTTCGTGGTACATGAAACGGCTCTATGCACAACTATAGGAGCCGTGTTGCTCGTCAATGGTGGGTGTTGAGGGGACTCATCCGAGAGCTGATGGTGAGGTAAGTCTGGGGAAAGACACCGGCTACTATGAGGGATGATGGGAGAAACAATCTGGCGAAGTTGTCTCGAAGGCAAGTCCAAGGGACCGGGACTTCCAATATAATATAGTACACAATACGCGCCAGAAAAAAAAAACCATCTTTTGTGAGATTGCCGATCTGATAGGGGCGTACTTTAGTAGATTTGACGTTCAAGTGGTCCCACCTCGCCACCATCTACATGGTACTTTATAGCTCCAATCCCTGTGAAGTAGTGTTCTGTAGCCCTTCTCGAAACCGTCTCCAACGGCGTAGCTATGTGGTCATTGCGCAACAATCATACCACCGTACCAAACAGGCGTCGAGGCATATCGGATGCTTCTTGGCCTCTTCTACACTTGCATCATACGCAGCCAGTCGACATATGCAACTCACGCGGGCCATATGCGAACCTTCGTGCACTCACCGGCAGACGTTTGATTGTATTGATTCGAGACAAAATTGGTTCAGCGACAATGCTTGAAGATTTGCAAGAGAGCTGGCGAACAGCTGGACGATGAAGTCATGGGCCGTTGGAACTGCGATAGCTCACTTTTGGGCCCTGTACGATCAATGGGACCGTGACATCAGACGTGCCACTTATCTTGCGACAATCGAGGACTCCACCCACTTTTTTAGTTGTAGTGTCGACTCGGGGCCTGCCATTGCGCAGGCAAAAGCGCGAGAAAAATAACCTTGGAAGCAGCCGATCGAAGGTGGAGAAGAGGTCGGATGGTACCGAGAGGAGTTGGTACAAAATGAGGAAGAAAGGACCATAGTTCTTTTGTGAGATAGTAAGTAGTGACGAGAAAGATGCACTGACGTCAGATTGCCACCCTGGAATCAGATCCCCCACAATTGCAAAGAGGCTGTCACGACATTAGTCTGTAATCACTAGGGCCGATTATATAGGGTCGGCTCTTGCCTCTTTGCGCCGCATCCTCCACCTTCTCCCCAGCTGAATATATTCACCTGATATGAAAGGAATCCAATAATTCACTATCTATCAAATCCTACGTACCACACTCTCTTCAATCATCTACTCAAAACTGCATGGACCACCATTCCACGTGACCTATCTCTCGCCGGCCTCAGGAAGCCACGTCATTCGGCGGTGAAGCACAGTCCCTCACTTTTTCTGCCCCTTTAAAAGAAAGAACAATCGGGAAGGCGCGCCATCGCGCTGCTGCAAAAGGGGAAGCGGGCCTCCACCAAAAGCGATCGTCATCCTCGTCTTCTTCCCCTCATCCTCGTCCTAATACTTTCCTCGCTCTTTCCGTTCGATACACTCTCTTTCGCCATCACCATCTTCTTTTCCATTCTTCCACCCCCTACGACCGGATAATCTTTCCTTGTACATCAACATGTCCGATCCCACCCTCTATCTCTACACCTCCCTGACTGCGGGGTCGTCCCACATCGTCACCGCAACGGCACGCCTGGAGACAATTCTCAAAGCCAACAAGCTCCCCTTCCGCGCAATCGATGTGGCCACGGACGAAGTAGCCAGGAAGCTCTGGGGCCGTCGCTCCAAGGGCAAGAAACTTCCTGGCTTGGTGAAATTCGGCACTGTTGTCGGAGTACGTATTCCTCCCCATCTCAGCGCAGAGAGGCTAGGTGGCTACTACTAGCGACGGAAGCTCCAACTATATACTGGGGACTACCAGCTAACATCTTCAAACTACAGGACTTGGAGCAAGTTGAAGAATGGAATGAGTATGGTGAGCTGAGGATGCAGGTTAACAGTGTCGAAGACATCGACAGTATTCCCGCAACTAGTACTCCGATTGCACCCCCCTCGGCCGCATCTACCCCCACCCCCGAACCCACTACCCTCAAACAGAGCACAATCAAGATTCAAAGCCCCCCGTCCAAAGAGACCCCGAAAGACACTGCTATCACGGCTGCTATGCGCCAGGCTAGTGGGGAGGCCGCTGCCAAGGCTAAGGGTAGCGGCACTCAACCTGCCCCGGCTAAGGAACCTGCCCCAGCAAAGGAACCTGCCCTGGCAGTTACAGAACAAAAGGAGACCCCGAAAGAGACCCCTGCGGCTGGCGAGCAGTCCCAAGCAGGCAAGGAAGATACTGTACGTGGGAACGAGGCTGCTCCCGATACTCAGGCTAGCAAGCCTAAGCGGCCGCCTCTCGTGCCCGAGGTAGCTGCAGAGTCGTCTGCTAATTTTCATGCTGATGCTGCTGAAGCTTTAGGAATGGTTCAGCACCACCGTGGCTCCATCATCTCCGCCACCTCCAAAGAAGAACAAGAAAAAGTTGCACAGGACTTGCGGAAGTCTATTTCCGGGGGTCAACAGGATCTTCTCAAGTCCTTGAGGGAGGATAATGCGGCGCGGACAGATCAGGAGCAGACGATCGAAGAAGAGTAGGAATGGTGGTGAAACCCAGGATGGGACCCCGGTCGACAGAAAGCGCGGGCTGCCAAAGTCAACGGCCGGGGTTTTGCGGTTGCATTCATTTTGAGACGACGAATACGACTCAGCGTCCTAGTTTCGGTTATCGCGAGACTCTTACCGTTTATCTTCGTTCCCTGTAAAGATACCAGCTTTCACTGTTGCTTGCTTGCTTGCTGTTTATTTCTTTCTTTGTAACTTGCATTCAATGCTGTATATGTTCGAACTGGACTCATTTCCCATTACATACATAGTTGATGATCCCACTGTTTACCTACTCTATCCGATCCGTATACCCAACCCATAACCTTCTAAATATGCCTGAACGCGCATCTCCGCCCGTAACCGATCAAGTACTCTTTGACCCTTTTTTCGCTCATCACATGTCGACAGGGTAAACACCCGAACAAGGGCCCATGAGAATTCTGTAAGGCGCCAGGAAGAAGCTAGAAAACGCAAAGAACAAATAAGAAATGCGAGCGATCGCAACGAAAATCGTGTCACATGAACCGGAAAACTTTTGTTTATGGTTTCCTTCCCCCCCTCTTCTATTCTTATTATTTATTGGATTATTATTCGTTTCAGTTTACTCCTTGCGATACTTGTTAACAGTCTCGCGGAGCTTAGCGATGACGTCGGCGGGATCCTGAGCGCCAAAGACGGCCGAGCCCGCAACGATGACGTTGGCGCCAGCCTCAGCAGCCTGGTCAATCGTGCCCAGTCCCAAGCCACCATCCACCTCGATGTTGAGGTTGGGGTATTTCTCGCGCAAAGCTTTGACCTTGGGCAGCTCGGAAGCCATAAACTTCTGACCACCGAATCCGGGGTGAACGGTCATAACCAGAACCATCTGATGATTGCCAAGAGAGATAGCGTTAGCATGTTGTTACGTACTCCGTAGCTTGAACTTTAACCAGCATCCCTCTCCACGATAGACTAGTATATGGATGTGGGGTATGCTCCGCAAAGATGTGCTGAGGGGGGAAATTTATGGGGATGTAGTAGGATCAACTCACATCCGGACGTTCCTTCTCGTTCTCATTCGCCAAAATATCCCAGAGTACGTCGACGGGGGTATCGGGCTTGATGGCAATTCCGGCTTGCATGCCCTCGTCGTGGATATAACGGATCAGGTCCTTGGGGCTGGTCTTGGTGGTTGTAGTGTTGTCGGCGGGACTGGTAGCAGCGGTGGAGGAGATGGCGGCTTCATAGTGAAAGCAGTAGAGATCACAGCCGGCGTCTTTGAAGTCCTTGACCCATTTGTGGGGCTGTATGGGGAATGAGCATGAGCTTTGAGGTTCATTGAGGTATGTACGATAGTGGTAGAAAGGGAGCCAGACGCACCTCCTGGATCATCATGTGGCAGTCAAAGGTACCCTTGCCGTGGGGTTCGGTGGGACGAGCAACATGAGAGCGAATCTTGGTGACGACGGGGGCACCAAAGGTCATGTTGGGGACGAAGTGGCCGTCCATGATGTCGACGTGCAACCAGTCGGAGCCTTGGGCGATCTTGGTCGAGCATTCGCTGCCCAGGGTGCCGAAGTCGGCACTCAGGATGGAGGGAGCAATGATAGCTGGCGGGGACATGGTGGATAAGAATTGACAGAGAGGAGAGAAGAAAATTGGTTTCTGGGATGAAGCTATGAAGAAGATTTAAGAAAGGATTTATTTAAGATTCGGTATTATGCGGTACCACCGGAGATGGAGGAAGTGGAGGGGCACCGGATTTATAGTTACGGACAATTATTATTCTGATGACGGGTCACCGACGAACGAGGGGCGCGGTGAAAGGAAATGGGGAGGGAGGGTGGGAAGGGAGAGCCACACCCGGGAGTGGATATCAAGAATAGTATGGAGACTCCATCACGGCCAAAAGGGCAACGAGCCATAAGTCAGCCGGATGTTGATATCACCGCCATTTTTTTGCAGTATTCGGTTTTTGCCTGTCGACGTCAGTTCAATCCCTCCGGAGTACCCAAAAGGGAAATCTGCTGCCCGTCGATAAGGGCTAGGGTCCTGAATAGCACGTGGGGGAAACTTGGCTGCAGCCCAGTGGGGGCCTGGGTGCCTGAACACCCGGTCGAGACTCGCGCCCAATGCATGTCACGGGTTCTCCCCCAATTGGGAACTGGCCATCCACTTGACCATTAGTGCACATCTCCTTGTCCAGTTCATCCTTCCTTCCTGTCGTGACTATCCTTTCCGATGCCGACACGCTGGTCCGGTGACTCAACCATCTCCCTTTCCAGTTTGTCCGTTGGGATCTGTACGCGGACCGGATTTCCCTTTTCTGTGCTTTCCTGCGGCAGTCGACAGTTGGCCCATGCTCAATCGTATGTAAGTGAGTTGGCTTATGCTAACTAATTAAGCTGGCCGTGGCTGGATTACCCGCGCTGCTTATCATCATATCTACAGTAGTAGCCCCTCTCCATCAATTCCCATTGATTGCTTGATCATGGTGATTCGAAATCAACTCCTTAGTCTACTCATAAGTCCACTACCACTTCCAATAATCCACCCCATGGCACGCACTGGCAACGGCTATTGACCGCTTGGACTATCTCTCCGCTTGCCCATCGTTTTCTAAAGATAGAGCACCGGGCGCTTAGAGCCTGCCAATCACACGAACACCTCCCCCATCACACAGAGCTTCAATCTCTGGCTGGAGGGCGGTTCTTTGCAGACACAAAGATCTTACCCCCATGCTGATTGGCACGCTTGCCTCCCGAGTCCGTCCGTTGTCGCCCATCATGGCTGGCCGACTGCTCGGATTCGTCGTGGCCGAAGCGCCCATCATCCCACCACCAATGATAGCATCTTCAGCTTGTCCAGTGGCAGGGATTACGGGTGCTTTGTGCGCAATGTTGCAGTAGTTCCTGCAGGTCTGGTGATGGTGGGAGGGTGTTCCCTCCAGATCTCCCTCCCTTCCCCTCTTTCCAGCGCTTTATTAGTAGAGCGAGCGCTACCGGTCACCAAAGGTGATCTTCACCTTACCCCGTCTCGGTCGGATTCTTCACCACCTTTTTCTTTGTGTTTTGTGTTTCTGTCAAGTTATTGTGTTCTCAGCTCTGGTAGCTGGGTAATCATTCGTTCTGCTAAATTCTCTGATATCGTTGAACCGTTGATCGGTGTCAACTGCAATCGAGATACCCTAGCTGCTTCGTTGGATATACGTTGTCTAAGTCGACTACTGCATCATACCCTGCATCCCATATCGTAATCGAAGGAAGGATAAGACTAGCATCGGGCACATTTGGGCATCATGACGGACGTATACCGTCCCGCAACGGGCAGATGCCCACCTCTGCGACAGGTGCGAGGAACGAGGCTAGATACGATAGTAGAGGACGCGCGCGAGGCGCATTATGCAGACTCTACAAAGCCTGTTGCATCCAGTGCCAAGCAGACAACACCAAAGGCACCGCAACCTCCACAACCACCACAGCTGAAGCTCAAGACCAGCGGGCTTTCATCAGTGTCTCGACTGCCTCGATTCTTCTCGCCAATATCCGCAGGCTCCGTCTCCTCTTGTTCAGACACTGAATGGCAGCGTCAGATGCAGCCGTTTGAAGACCTGTACGATGCAACGGATGACGATTCGGACATCAGTGATGAGTGCACTTCCTTCGCTAGCACCCGACCAACAAGCTTGGTGACACCCACGACGCGTACTTCGGTTTTTTCTCCGGTCTCCCGCAGCCGGTACCCTAGTCTCACGATACCGTCGTCCACAATGTGGCCATCACTGCATGGTGCTGCAAAGAGCTCTCCGATTCCGCCAACTCCGCCGCCAAAGATTCCTGTCTCCCCAGCTGCCCTGTCAATGCTCGCCCATTCGGTGCCGGCCGTGCATGCCCCGCCGTCCTTGGACGGAAGTGTCTCCTCTGACCAGGTGTCAAACATCAGTGCTCCAGCAACTCCAGACCTGCAATCCCTTCCAGACAATGACTGGACTGCGCAAGACGTGCATGTTCGTCACGAACTAGAAGATTCACAGGATGAAGATCTTGAGGCGGAGCCGGATACCCAAAGCATTCAGATCGCTATTGAGAGCGCCAACGAGGACTGGCGTCAGGTCCTGGGCAGGTTTCCACGGATCCCGGGCGGCCAGTCGACCGCGTCGTCAATTGACCTGGATGCGGAGCCAGTAAGGGGAGATACACCATCTGACCGGGGCGTATCTCTGCCTGCAGATGCCTTAGAGACACTGAGGCACATCTCCCTCGATGGGACTCCAGATCCCTGGTCGGAAACTTCTGAGTCCAACGAAGAGATGTGGCAGATCCGTATGCCTCCAGAACGCCCGCGCAGTGCCGACGATGCCACTCCGGCGTCGGAACTCTCAGGGTATAGTTTCAGCAGGCTGAGCATACCCTCACCTGGTGGCTTCTTTGCTTCACTTGGTCCACGAGCACGTCACACCTGGTCTATCCCCTGTGGAAATAAACCGCCGACTTCTGCCACTGCCGAGGGCTTTTACAAGCTACCGTTCTCCCGGACCGAAGGGGAGGTCGTTGAGCACGTCATAGAGTACCCCGAACGGACGACAGAAGAACAGCTGACAGCCGTGTATGATCCCATCGGACCACCCACCGCTATCAGAATTCCCGAGGAAAAGACGCCCAAATTATCCGATCAATTCGATGATCAAGCATGCTCTGAGGATGATGCTATGGACGATGCTCTTCCGCCCATCGGCCCGGACGATCAGTACGAACGAGACGAGGACTATGAGAGCGAACTAAAGCAAAAGGCAATGTCGGGTTTGGACCGGACCAGCGACTGGCTGGCAGCGCAGGCTTCTTATCTTTCAGCTCTTAATGAGACCAATCCCGTGAATATGTTGGATGAAGAGGCTTACAACGAGGAAGTTGGACCCAAGACCGACCGGCAATCACCTAAACAGTTAAGCCGGAAGCAGTCAGTTCGTTTTGCCAAAGCTCTTCCAGAAGCACCCAGCTCCTGTCCCTCTTTACTAGCGAGTAGAGACTCCATCTACTGGCGCGGATTCAAGGCGGTCCAGCAACAGTCCGGCACTCGAGATACTTTTGTGCATCGGAACACGAGATTTGATGCTGTTCAGTCTGTCCGACTGGGCTTAACAGATGCGCACATCAAGCGTTTGCGTGGAAATTATGAAATCGCTCGTCCGGAACGTCCAGCTTACAAAGGGCCCTTCTCATTGGCGCCTCGCAACTCAACAATGGACTCGGCTCTGGCAGAAAAGGCCCAGTTCTCCATAGTTGAGAAGGAGCAGACTGTGTTGTCTCAAATTCGTCAACCGATGTGGGCCATGGATGCTCTGAGATATATCAACGGGGGTCGCCTCATTGTGAGTCCTGCTCTGAAGCAGCTGTCCAGCACGCGTAAACGAACTCCCCGTCAACTACGGATCCTCGACCTCGGCGGACACGCCTCATGCGAATGGGCTTGGCAACTGGCTCACGAGTACCCTCATGTTAAAGTATATACCGTCTTTACTGAGCATCAGGAAGTCAACCCAGGCATCAAAGGACCTCCCAATCACCGGCACCTTCCTGTATCCCAACTGTGGAAACTGCCGTTCGCCGACAATAAGTTCGATGTGATCTCAGCCCGCTCCCTGCCTGCTTTGTTGAAGAAAGAATGCCCGTCTGGGGAGACTCAAGACCAGTATGACCTTTGCCTGAAAGAATGTCGACGCTGCCTCAAGCCAGGTGGTTATTTGGAGTTCTTTGTCATGGATGCAGAAATCACACGTGCTGGCCCGCAAGCATCTGCCAGGTCAGCTGAATTTGCGTCCGGTCTCAGGGCTCTGGGTTACGACTCGACACCAACCAAAGGCTTCCTCAGTCGCTTGCAGAAGAACTTTGCGGATGTGAAGCGAGCCTGGATGTTCCTACCTATGGGTACTGAGCCGGTCAAGTCTGAACCGCCTAGAGAGACCCCCGATCCGAGGGTGAAGAGCCTCATTGAAGAATGTGAAGCGGTGCAAGGCCCAGTCGGGAGCACGGCAGATATAGCCAGTGTTACGGGTGTGCTAGGTGGCTGGATCTGGGAACAATGGCTTGTAAAACTGCAGACGGAACTGGGAATGGACCAACAAGACCTGCTGGCAGGCATTGGGAGTGTGTTTGATGAGGGACGCAAGAACGGTGCAGGCTGGACCTGCTTGTCGGGGTGGGCAATGAAACCGAGGCCGAAGAAGAAGAAGCGTCACGGACGGAAATCCAGCAAAGGCTGAGCCGTGCTTCTCCGTCCCTTCTCTTTCCATTCGACGCCGAGGTTTCATTCGGGCTGCCCAAGGTACACTATGAACCCCAAGCTGCCCTGGTGGCGCATCTAATGTAATAGCGGGAGTTGTGTCTTTCTTATCGCTCTTTTCGAATACCCCTTTGTTTATGCGGAATGAGAGATGATGAATGCAGATTGATGGCTGGTGGACACTAGGGTGGATAGCTGTGGGCAATGACACTCATTTGATACCCAGCAGATCGATATTATATATTTGGTAGCTATACTAGTAAGTTGTTAGTACAAGTAGGTTAAATCCGAGATATACACCCGACGAACCTGCTGTCTACGTCTCGCATACCTGAATCATGCATATTTGACTTTCAGGGGATGGACACTATAAGTCTGCTCCAAATTTGACTAGAATACTCAGAACAAATCAATGTTGATTCCACGATCAAATGTCATGGCCAGCACAGCTGACACGCCAATCACGTGACCCAATCACAATGCTCAACACCAAACCGCAGCATCATACCCGCAGCTCCAGATAATCGCATATTCCTCGTCTTCACGTCTCCCACCGCCAGCCCCACAAGGAAAGGATCCAATCGATACCTCCTTACTAAATATTCAGCAGCCAATGCGCTACTAGTCCATTCAACAACAAAATCACAACTCCGACCGCATCAACACCCCTCCATATTCTCCCCCACCTCGCACCGCAACCATGCTCTTCTTCAGGTAAGAAAGTGCCCGAGATCCTCACACCAGCACCAAGGCAACCACGGCTAATACTTCCCACCACGGGGATAATTACTTTGCAGCTTCTTCAAGACTCTTACCAACCAAACGGTGACCATCGAACTCAAGAACGACATTCGCATCCGCGGCACTCTCAAATCCGTCGACCAGTACCTGAACATTAAGCTGGATGATGTCGACGTTCTGGATCTGGATAAATACCCGCATCTGTCCTCCGTGAAGAACATGTTTATTCGTGGTAGTGTGGTGCGCTATGTTATGTTGCCGAGGTCGGAGGTCGATATTGGGCTTTTGGAGGATGCGACGAGGAGAGGTATGCTTCATCCCTGGTCTCTCTATCTGTTTGAAGGAACATAGGTGTATCTGTTTGAGTGTGTTTTGGAAGTATGGATTGCTAATATTGGTGTGGTATGAACAGAGGCTGCGAACCAGGCTGGCAAAGCTCGGTGATTTTGCTTTGATTGACCGATTGTCGCTTTGATGGTTGGTTGGGTTTATTTTTGCTCCACGGATGGGATTGACTTTTTTCTTTTATGTATTTTTCTTTTTATTTTTTCTTTGATTTGCAGATTTAATCTTCACGATGTGATGATGTTTGTCGTTGTCATGCGGGTTTCACTTTTATTATGTTGCTGATATCCATGGTTAAACATGGCGGAGAGAAAGAGAGAGATATAAAGAGGAGGGTCTGCGTGGATGGAAAGCATCGGGCCAGAGCAGAGTGACTGGACGGAGTACTGCTCCTATGATCGGGGCTGATTTGATGTGCTCGGAATTGCAGATGCTGAATGATGGTGATGATGATAGGTGCACCTGCATACTACATCTACTGACTACTAGAAGTACTAGATGTCAGAGGGAGGACGAATACTAGTGGGTACTACTAGGTTTACTGGTAAAGCTCTCCTGGACACATGATAAAAAGAAAAGGAACGGAGTGTGCGGATACCTAGTAGCTAGGATAAAAATGAATATAAAAAACAAATAACAAAGCCCATCCGCCTACTATCATAAGTAGTACTTGGTAGTTACTCCCACTCCTCTAATTTGATAGTAACAACCGCAAATGGAAACCAATGGGTGGAACGGTCACCTGACTTCGTGTCGCGAAAATCGAGTCGAGTCTCCGCCCGCCGCGCCCGCGCCTTATCTCTTTTCGCCGCTTTGGCTATTCGACTGCCTCTGATTCTACTCACCGCGCTCCTCGATTTCATGAGGCAACCATCTGTACAAATACATCTTAATTATTCTATTCCATACTATATTCATGACTTAATCTTGTATGAATATGCTTTAACGCTCCCAATCCGCCATACATAACCATACCCTCACGCATAAATTATCCGCCCGCCCGCCACTTTGACCACGCGATAAAGCAACGAAAGCACACGATCAACCACAAAACCTGAACGATGCCTACGCCATTCCCTCCTCGAAAAACATCTACGCCCTCTCGGTCAACGCCGGCGAAATCGAAAGCCACGAAACGCAACACCAGCCTTCTCAGTTTCTTCCAAAAGGCGGACGGGCCGCCGAAAGCTACGTCCCGGCAGTCGCGGATCACGCAGTTCGCGACGAAGGCTGAGAAGAAAGATGCAACTGGCGATGCAGGGTCCTCGGGGGTGAGGGGTGGGAATGGGGCTGCTGGTGCCGGGGGTTTGTTTTTGGAGGATGCGAAGAAGGTGGTTAGTTTTACGAATGGAGGGGACTATGTGAGGGAGAAGACGCCCGAGGATATTTGGGAGGAAGAGGAGGAACGGTTTCAGGAAAATGGGGGCAGTGTGAAGAAGAGGAGGGTTGAGGAGGGTATCTCGCTGGAGGATGATATTGATAATGGGAGTGGGGAGGACAAGAAGAAGACGGAGAGCGAGAGTGGCACTGAATCGAAGTCAACTCAGAAGCCGTCTCGGTCAGTCAGCGGGCCATTCATTGATGAATCGGACAGTGAGAGCGAGGATCTGGAGCAGTTCAGGGAATACGAAAATGGGACTGAGATTGAGGCCGGGGTATCGGACGGGAAATCAAACTCGGCAGACGAAACCCAGGCTCCCGCAGTCGATGTCGACACACCACCGGTAAGAGAAGCCACGAGCCACGACGATGATGTTTACGCGAATTTTGACGATCTTGAAGAGGACGAGTTCCGAGGGGAAGAAGACTTCTTAGATGCATTTGACGATGATGAGGATTTCAAAGGCGACATTGGACTTGATGATAGCGGGATTTCGGGTGAAGACTTTGGCTGTGAAGCGCCTGTGTGCCCTGTATGTCAGGCTGTTTTGACAGGCTTGTCTGAGACGGTAAGTTGTGCGGATTGTGTCTCTGGTGCTGGTGGTAATGGTTGTTCTAGGATGTCTCGGTACATGTCAACGATTGTCTTGATGGGAAGCCTACGGAGTCGTTGAAACATGAGCCAGAGGCGGAGCCAGACCCGGACCCGGAGCCGGGACCGGAGTTGAAGTCGAAAGGAATGAGTCTTGCCGACCGGGCTGCTATCGCGAGACCAGCGCAACGTGACCCATATGCCTCTGGCGTCGCAGGAACGAGGTCGGCCTTTTCGAAGCTCATGGCCGGCAACGCGGAAGATACAGCATGGAATGCAGCGGCGGCCAACGAGGTTGCGTCCCGTGGCAAACAGGCTTATCAACGGACGTGTCCGTTCTACAAGATCATCCCTGGCTTCTCCCTCTGTGTGGATGCGTTTCGATACGGAGCCGTCGAGGGGTGCAACGCGTATTTCCTCAGTCACTTCCACAGCGATCATTACATCGGCCTTACGGGGTCCTGGCGCCATGGACCAATCTACTGCAGCAGGCCCACGGCCAATTTGGTGTGCCAGCAATTGAAAGTTGATCGGAAGTGGCTTGTACCACTTGAGTTCGAACAGAAGACGGAAATCCCGGGGACCGGAGGAGCGCAAGTGACCTTGATCGAAGCGAATCATTGTCCCGGGAGCGCCATCTTTCTTTTCGAGAAATCAATGGGATCCGGCCCCTCGCAGAGGACACACCGTGTCCTTCACTGTGGTGACTTTCGCGCCTCGCCGTTGCATGTGCAGCATGCCCTTCTCCGCCCGGAGATCACTGATCCTGCAACTGGCAAGGCTCGCCAGCAACGAATCGACGCCTGCTATCTCGACACTACCTATCTGAGCCCTAAGTACGCATTCCCAGGCCAAGAAGACGTCATCGAAGCTTGCGCGGATCTCTGCGTTGAGCTCGACCAAGACGCCAATGATACCAACGGCCGAGCATTCGGACGACCAGTCAATGGGAAAAGCGGAATGCTGAGCAAGTTTGTTACGGCAGTGACTGGATCCCGCCCGTCTCCAACGCAAGGGAGCCGTCCTCCGGGGCGGTTATTGGTGGTGATTGGAACGTACAGCATCGGCAAGGAACGCATTTGCCTGGGGATTGCGCGGGCATTGAAGAGCAAAATCTACGCAACGCCAGCTAAGCAGCGGGTCTGTGCGTGCCTCGAGGATGCTGAGCTGTCATCGCTGCTGACGGACGATCCCACAGAGGCGCAGGTGCATATGCAAACGCTCTTTGAGATCCGGGCGGAGACGCTGGCCGACTACCTGGACTCGATGAAGCCGCACTTCACGCGGGTGGTGGGATTTCGACCCACGGGGTGGACGTATCGACCGCCAGCTGGAAGAATGCTGGACAACCCACCAGTGTCGGTGGTGCTCAACTCGGCGCATTGGAAGACGCCTTTCTCTGCGAAAGACCTGGTGCCACAGCGGGGGAGTACGCGGGAAAGTGCCTGCTTTGGAGTGCCGTACAGCGAGCACAGCTCATTTCGGGAGTTGAGCATGTTCTGCTGTGCACTCCGGATCGGACGGGTGATCCCCACGGTGAACGTGGGTAGCCGGAAAAGTCGGGAGCGCATGAAGGCGTGGATTGAACGATGGGAGGCGGAGAAACGGAAGAATGGATTGTACCGCGTGGAGGGAAGTCGTTGGTAGGGAATGGACACTACCGTAATCATAACACCTACCAAAGGATCCGGAAGGATTCCTTCCTTAAAGGCGGGTCGGGACATGTTGCCAAATGAGGCAAGTCAGGAGTAGCACTGTAAGTAGTTACAAGTCACGAGCTATGTACATAAACACTTTAGTCATGAGCATTGATTACCTTTAATGCATCCGTAACTCCCGCCTCCCCGGAGTCACGAGATCCAGAATTAGAAAGCAACCATGGCGGTTCGACCATTGGCATCTCTCTCACTGGCTGTATCCCCATTTATCGCCATGGATCCATCCAAAGCATGATCCCTTTGGGGTCAGGATCTCCCACCAACCCCACGGGAATCCTCCAGAGTATCCCAAAAGTATATGCGAACAAAGTTAACAACCGAGCACAAGCGGGGAAGTGCAAGGGGACCGGCGCTACAAATCGGCTGGCAGATCAGTCGCGGCTCAGCAGAGACTCCCGATTTTCCCTTCCGTTGCCTGTCTTTGCCTCGGGGATCCAATGCTGCCCGTCTGCCATAAATATGCTCGGGGCTTCAACTCAAAAATAAGGAGGTGAACCAGTTCAACCATCTTCCTCTCGAACAAGAAAACACTCTTCTTCATCCATGGCGATATTTGAGTGAAGTGGACTAGTTTTGATATCTTTTTCATTCTCCAACCAATTTATTTTTATTAAATATTCATTACCTTATAGTTGCTTATTTCCTTCGGAGGTAAGTTGGTCTTCCTTGGCACCCACATTCCCGGCTGCATTTTGCGGCTGAGGAATTGCTTCTCCCTCATTGCATTTGCCGGTGTTAACATCCGAGCTCAACCAGCTAGATACCTTCCTTCCCCCACAAAAACAATCATGCTCGCCCTGCTCCTGTCACCCTACGGGGCCTATCTGGGTCTAGCCTTGCTAGTCCTCTACTATCTCCTTCCTTATCTACAACGCTCTCACCTTCGTGATATCCCCGCCCCCGGTCTGGCCGCCTTCACCAATTTCTGGGTGCTCCTGCAAACTCGTCGCGGTCATCGTTTCATCGCTGTCGACAACGCTCACAAGAAATACGGAAAGCTCGTTCGCCTCGCCCCCCGTCATACCTCCATCGCCGATGATGGGGCCATCCAGGCTGTTTACGGCCACGGAAATGGTTTCCTGAAGTCGTACGTGCTCCCCTCCAATTTTTTTTTTTTTTTTTTTTTTTTTTTTTTTTTTTCTTACTTTCGTTCCTGGACTATCACTGGCATATGGAACCATTCTTCATCAGAAGCTAATCAACTCCTTGTTCCAGTGATTTCTACGATGCCTTCGTCTCCATTCACCGTGGTCTCTTCAACACGCGCGACCGCGCGGAGCACACCCGCAAGCGCAAGACCGTCTCCCACACCTTCAGTATGAAGTCCATCGGCCAGTTCGAGCAGTACATTCACGGCAACATCGAGCTGTTCGTCAAGCAATGGAACCGCATGGCCGATACCCAGCGCAACCCCAAGACCGGTTTCGCCAGTCTGGACGCCCTGAACTGGTTCAACTACCTGGCTTTCGACATCATCGGTGACCTGGCCTTCGGCGCTCCCTTCGGCATGCTCGATAAGGGCAAGGATTTTGCCGAGATGCGCAAGACTCCCGACTCGCCCCCCTCCTACGTCCAAGCCGTCGAGGTCCTCAACCGCCGCGGTGAAGTCTCCGCCACCCTGGGTTGCTACCCGGCTCTGAAGCCCTTTGCCAAGTACATCCCCGACAGTTTCTTCCGTGATGGTATCCAGGCCGTCGAGGACCTGGCTGGTATTGCCGTCGCCCGTGTCAACGAGCGTCTCCGCCCCGAAGTCATGGCCAACAACACCCGTGTCGACTTGCTCGCCCGCCTCATGGAAGGCAAGGATGGCAACGGCGAAAAGCTCGGTCGCGCCGAACTTACCGCCGAAGCTTTGACCCAGCTGATCGCCGGATCCGATACCACCTCCAACACCTCCTGCGCCATCCTCTACTGGTGCATGCGCACGCCCGGTGTGATCGAGAAGCTCCACAAGGTCCTGGACGAAGCCATCCCTCAAGACGTCGACGTCCCCACCCACTCCATGGTCAAGGACATCCCCTACCTCCAATGGGTCATCTGGGAAACCATGCGCATCCACAGCACCTCCGCTATGGGTCTCCCCCGTGAAATCCCCGCCGGTAACCCCCCCGTCACCATCTCCGGCCACTCCTTCTACCCCGGCGACATTGTCTCCGTGCCCAGCTACACCATCCACCGCTCCACGGAGATTTGGGGCCCCGATGCCGAGCAATTCGTCCCGGAGCGCTGGGACCCTGCCCGCCTCACCCCTCGTCAAAAGGCCGCTTTCATTCCCTTCAGCACCGGCCCCAGAGCCTGTGTCGGTCGCAACGTCGCGGAGATGGAACTCCTGGTTATCTGCGGTACGGTCTTCCGTCTTTTTGAATTCGAGATGCAGCAGGAAGGCCCCATGGAGACGAGAGAGGGTTTCTTGAGGAAGCCCCTCGGACTGCAGGTCGGTATGAAGCGCAGACAGCCTGGTTCGGCTTAAACGAGTGGTTGTGTTGTATCCGCAAATGGAGATATCCGGAAGAAAGGTTAGCCGTCCGTCCCCTGTGCATAGAATATTTCCCGGAGAAAGGGGTGGGCGCGACGATGGAAGAGTTTCGATTCTGATGTATATGTATAAGCGAGTTGCGAGAATGGATTAGTATATATTTACATAGCTAGCATTCATACATGCAATGAATGACATGATGAGATGATCAATTTCATTATTGATATTTTTCTTGACACGCGTCTATTCATACAGTGGTGGTTTCTTTTCCTCTCAACGCTCACACTGAAAACAACCTGAACATATGATCCATCACATGTCTGAGCAACAATCTTTCGACGACACCATCCTAAAATCCCAATATGCAAAGCAATAATATGTCACAAGTATTCACATTATGGATTACACTAATAGCTTAGCAGAGATAGGGGGGTTCGTGATCATAGCTGCGTAGCATATACACACAAAAAGAAGAAGAAAAGGTCCACCCCCCATTCATCATCATCAAGAGACACATCCCAATATACATCTCATGCAATCCTCCAACTCACTACCAACTCTTCGGTCCAAATGTCTGCCCTGCCGGCAAGACCTTCTGCACCGCAGTACCCGCCATATCCATAGTAGCACCGGTGATACTAGTACCCCACCAAGTCGGGAAACTAGTACCGGTCAAATCGAGGGTCAAGAAAATGAGGATGGTACACAGATCCAACCCGACATCCAGACCCGCCGAGAGGACATAGTTGTAGTGCATCCACCAGCCGCGCCAGCGGTCCCGGATGTACTTGTTGAAGACGATACCCACCAGACCCCAGGTGAGATAGTTGAGGGGGGTGGCGGGGGGAATCAGACCCGCACCGCCGAAGATGAGCGGGGCGCTGAGGAAGCGGATCCGGCTCTTGGGGTACATGCGTGCGCCGATGTAGATGAGGACGGGGAGGATGGCGCCAGCGAGCCAGAACCACATGAGGCCAGAGTAGAGTTGGCCCGGGGAGAAGATGCGCTGGGGGCCGATCAGACCCCAGATCACGGAGGCTTGGTAGAAGACACGGCCGTTGGGGCAGCTGTAGTTGTCTGCTTGGGTTTCGCTGCAGACGTCTTTGATGGTGGCGAGACCCCAGTTCATCACAGCGATTTGGACGACGGAGGACCACAGAGCGGCGATCATTTGGGCGGCGAAGGTCACTCTTGGGGGAAGTTTCATGTAGTGCGCTGGGTAAGGGTTAGTGGGTTGAGTATGGCTTGTGGGGGTGAGGGATGGGTGCTTACCTAGTTTCATGTCCTGGTTGAAGTAGAGTCCTTGGTACATGCTCATGTAGCCGTAGGTCTTGAACAACATCATGGCCATGGGCTTTCCGGGCTGGATGTAGCCGACAATGAACTCCGTCAAGACGTTCAGACCGATGGCGATGTTGGTGGCGGCTTGCACGATACCAATTGGCACGTACCACACCACAGCCATGATCAGAGAAACGAAGAATGCCCACCAGCTCAGGTGAGTGGGGTATCCCAGGACCATGCCCAAACCAATTCCAATCATGATCAGGGTGACCGCGGCATACCACCAGAGGGGCACCGGCTTGTACTTGGACATCAGGCGGGCGTGGACATCCTCCTCTTCCTTGCCAAAATTGCGGAAACGCACCCACAGTTCTTTACCGTGGAACAGACCGGTGTGAATGAGAATAGCAATGATGGTCGCAAATGACAGTCCGTAGCAGAGACTGAAGGTGGTGGATAGGAAGAGTGGCGAGTATTCCTTGTACGCCTGAATATTGAGAGTGAAGTCACTGTTCATGATTCTGGACACATTGTATTGCGCACCAGTGTTGTCGTAACTGTTCGAATCGCTCATAGGCAAGTACTCGAACCACCACATGCCGCTGTAATGCATGCCAATGGTGACAATCCAGAAGAAGATGAACATACCAATAAGGGTGTTGGCAATGGCGTGCCAAGGGGCGATCAGGGGACTGAAGTTGAAGCCAGAGATTTGCGTCCAGTCAAAGGTCATAGGGATCAGAGACAGGCCGGTATCACCGCCAAAGAGCTGGTTGATCACGGCATTTTGGGGTTTGATCCAGGTCACCCAGGCGAAGACACTGAGGAACGGGGCGATAACGCCGGGGATCCAATACCAGCAGAAGGACCCGATCATAACGTAGAGGAAGAAACGGTACTTGCCAATCCTCCATCCGGCTACCTTGCTGGGATCAGGCCTGCTGTGATCATGAAGCGCCGAGAACAGGGTGCAGTTGATCAGATTGGAAGGCCAAATCATGGCAGCTGGAGTGACCAGGAAGCGGTGGAAGAACCCAGCCATACCAAACCCGAGCATCTGAGTCGAGATACACATGAAGATCTCAAATGCCCATCCGAAACGCTGCTTGTAGAAGGCACGCTGGGCCAATAACACGTCAGTCGCATAAGCAGCACCACCACCAAAGGTA